CTCCATTTAATAAGTAATATTAAAAATTAAAACTTAAAAAAACACGCTGTTATGAAATTTACGAGTAATGGCAGAACTCCACGACTCCAGGGAGTGGCCCCGAAGCTTGCCACAACGTAAGGGGACCGTGGCCAATTACAGCCAACGTCAGTTGACAGTGGACAATTAGACCCAAGCCGAAACATAACATAAAAAATAATGTTTATAAATATTTTTATTTTATTTTTCACGATAGAATATAGTATTGTCATCAGTATGACATAAGTATACCAAGTTTGCAGTCGAAACCACATTGGGAAGTGGGTTAAAATTGAGTTACAAGATTTGAGGCAACAACAACGACAACAACAACAGAATGAGTTTAAAGAAAGCGTGTAAAATTGGAATAATCGAGAGTATTCTATATGAATAAAGCACTCTACCTAGCATTTACCTGTTATAAACCTTTTTCATGTGTAGTACCCCAGTAATTACCCTGTAATCGGGTAATTTGTATGGGGTAAGGGTTAAAGGTAGGGTAATGGTAGGCTCGTTGCTTTTAACCTTTTACCTTACCTGCTGAAGGGTAAAAGGTAGGGTAGAGTGATTGTATTGTGGTAAGGTAAAAGGTAGGGGAATGGTAGGCTCGTTTTTACCTTTTACCTTGCCGAGGCCTAGTCACGACGTTTCGATAGCAACACAAGCAACCATCATCAGGTGAGACAAACACAGCAGGAGAACTGCTGACGCAGGAGAAATAGCTGCTGCAACACTGCAACATGAGGTTATATAGGCTTTAGGTGGGCTCAACCCAAGGGTAAGTGGGCAGAGCTAGAGATGGAATTTGTACATAAACATAAGAGATTAGCATGTCAATGTGGCTTTAGGTGGGCTCTACCCAAGGGTAAGTGGGCGGAGATAGAGATGGAATTTGTACGTAAATGTAAGAGATTAGCATGTCAATGTCACAGAACCAGGCAACAAGAACAATAAACCCGCAAGAGCAGCATGTGAACGAGAGAGATGCACATGGAGAGAGAGAGAGACACACAGAGAGAGACACACAAAGATACGCACAGAGAGAGACACACACAGTCACACACAGAGGGACAACCCACGAACAGAGAGAGACATCCACATAGAGAGATACATACACAAAGACACCACAGAGACACACAGAGAGACAATCACAGAGAGAGAGACACACATAAAGAGACACACAAATAGAGAGAGAGAGACACACACACAGAGATACAGAGAGAGACCCAACCTAGAGAGACACAGAGAGAGACACACGTAGAGAGAGAGGCCCACACAGAGAGACACATACGGAGACACACAGAGACACAACACAGAGAGACAGAGAGACACACAGAGAGGCAACCCCCACAACAACAACCGACATTCGCCACTAAGCCAATGAGAGCTTTTTCTCCGCCAACTTGAACACTTCCTCTGTCAGCCAGGGTCTCTGGGGAGGTCTGGACCGTGTGCCCAAAGCAGCCATTGCAGCTGCATGAGCCACAATCCTAAACCTCGCCCATTTACCCTTGACATCAGGAGAAATGGGGGACGATGCCAACCCCAGCCGCAAGCAATGATTAAATTCTCACTTGCAACTTTCATCAGCTAGCTGAGACCATGCCAATAGGGTTTGAATGGGGTTCTGGGTGTACACCCACCAGAGTGGAAAAATGGCAAACGCATCTTACAGATGACAAGTCGATGGTCAGTGGGCAGATCAGCTCCACGGTAGGTCCTGGTGTCAAGGACATGGGCCCGCATCCACTGTTCCATCACTATGTAGTCCAGCCGATGTTCTTGCTTGGACCCGGCATGCATCCATGATGTCTTGTGGATGCGCCGATGCCGGAACAGCGTGTTGGTAATTACAATCTCATGGGCATCATCAAAAATCTAGCAGCCTCCTGCCGTTGTTATGACCAACTCGGGCATTGAAGTCACCCAGCAAGATGACTCAATCCCGCGGGGCCACTTTAGCTAGCTCCTGTGACAGGAGCTCATAGAAGGCATCTGACTCATTGGCCTTGTCTGCATCCCTCCACGGATGTTCGTCTTCAGTGGGGACATTAGTAACCACAACCACCCCTCCTCGCCTCTGTAATAATAGGGTTTTCCCCCTTTTTTCTGGAACCAAAACTGAAACTTTCTTTTTACAAGGATTCATGTCTGCATTAACCACAATACTTGCAGTCAAAATGCAAACAGAGACAGCTTTCTTTAGAGCCTAGTCTCAATTGGTCTTGCAGTTTTGTTGCCAGAAAATAGGGGAAAAACCCTATTATTATATTTTGGTACTGGCAAAGGAGGTCCAATGATGTAGATCCTCGCCTCTGGTTGATGGGAAGGCGAGCCCAAAGTAGCCTGGGGCTTACAGCTTCCCACACCTCACCGCCACGCTCCCACGCCCCCTTCATTCTTTTGTTCAGAAGAAGAGCCACTCCCTGTTGTTTGGCAGTCTCCTGCCCCGTGAAGAGGACTGTCCACCCCTCATGGTGGCAGGAGCCAGAGCCGGTCCACCGGACCTCCTGAATACCACAGAGATCCAGGCGGTACCGGTCCAGCTCCCGACAGAGGAGTGGCAGCCTCTCCTCCGAAGTGAGCGTTCGAACATTCCACATGGTCACATGTAGTGGTTTTTTGTTGTTTCTGGAGGAGCCCTGAGGGTAAGGATTCAGTCTCCTGACTCCGCTAAATGGGGTTTGGCCATGAGACGTCATAGACGCCTGTCCCCCTGGACAGGCGTCTATTTTTTGCGTGGTTTTGTGGTAATTTATTAAAGGTGGAGGGGTTACCAGCCCCTCGCACCCGTCCAGAGCCCCCATTTGGCCGTTGTGGTGGTTACCAACGCCCTGAGGGGAAAAGCCAATCGGAATTGGCCCTCCCCCCCCACAGCACTATCTATGACAGCGTTGCCCTTCCAGCACCACGAGGAGGTAGGGGGTTTTTGCCCCCATACACACACACAGAGAGAGACACACACAGAGACACAACACCGAGAGACAGAGAGAGAGACACACACAGGGAGACAACCCCCACACAGAGAGACACACAGAGAGAGACACAAAGAGAGAGAGAGCTACAGATATAGAGACACATACAGAGAGAGATACACACACAGATAGGCAAATAAACAGAGAGACACAAACACAGAGAGAGACATACACAGAAACATCACAGCCAGTTATAGTCTGTTAAAAAACGAGAGCTCCTGCCATATCGAAGGAAAGGGGCAACGGTAGCTGTGTTAGTGAGACACTTAGCCCATTAATGTAAATACATTTAACCTGGTAATGTAATCAGTCGGAAATAACAGCTGACATCGGCAGATAGGATGAAAACATCACAGTCAATTAAGACTTTACCTGGTTAATAACGTCATTCCAATGATTGCTCAATTTGTACCCATCTTCTCGGTTGAAGTTGTGTCTGTGTTATATCTGGATGGCTTCATTAACAAATGTCTGATGATAGCCGGTGGGTTTGCAGAGTACCTTCGTCTTGGACAAATCTGTTTCGTGTGAGCCCACAGAGTTAAAACAATGATCAGCAACGGCAGAGGTATTGGTCCTACCGTGTTTCAGATCTGCCTTGTGTTCGCGAACACGGACTGAGACACGTTTCGTTTCCCCAATGTAACTGCTGCTGCAGCCACAACTTAGTTCACCTGGAATGTACGATTGTACCAATCCAGGTGAAGTAAGTGAAGTAAGTGTTGGGTTGAGCCCACCTATAGCCTATATAACCTCGTGTTGCAGCAGCTATTTCTCCTGCGTCAGCAGTTCTGCTGTGTTTGTCTCACCTGATGACGGTTGCTTGTGTTGCGATCGTAACGTCGTGATCTATTATTTTTTCTATGTACGTGACTTTACCGAAAGAACCAAGAGTATGGAGTCCTGGAGTCACGAAAGCTTCAAATCAAGAGTGTATATTTTATTTAAATTTCATTTAAGCGAACCACGGTTTAGTAATGTTCTCTGATGCGTCAAATAAATAGTGACTGCCACGTTTAGCATCATACCACCTCGAGACAAGCAGCAATTGGGGGGACATGATGTGGGCTTTCTGGCAGTTTTGGGTACAGTTTTGCCTCCAAAAATGGGACCTTTTTGTTGGGTGGTGGGGGGGTGGTTGGGTGGTGGTTGGGTGGTGGGGGGGGGTTAAGTGGTGGGGGGGGCGGTTGGTGGTGGAGGGGGTGTTTGGGTGGTGGTGGGGGGGGGGAGTGGTTGGGTGGAGGGGGAGTGATTGGGTGGTGGTTGAGGGGTGGTTGAGTGGTGGGGGTGGTTGAGTGGTGGTTGAGTGGTGGGGGTGTTGAGTGGTGGGGGTGTTTGGGTGGTTGAGTGGTGGTTGAGTGGTGGGGGGGGGGAGATGATTGGGTGGTGGTTGGGTGGTGGTGTTACATCACCCATCCACCACGCCGTCTCCAGAGGGGGGCGGAGTGCCACGGGGTGGGGGGGGGTAGCAAGGTGGTGGTGGGGTAGGAGGAGGAGGAAGGAGGGAGGCGACTACAGTGCAGGTGGCTGTCGTTGCAGCAGCCGCCGCCAATGCTGCTGCTGCTGCATCGCGGGCGGCTTTGGGGGGGGGGGGGGGGTCTGCGGGCGGGCGGGCGGGCGAGCGAGCGAGAGGGGCGTCTAAAACGTGTACAGCACATAAACAAGTCGGGTGTCAGGTGGGTTTGAAGGAAGGGAGGTTTCCGCTTATTCGTCCCGGCGACTTCGTTTGGCCGTGCCAAGCAAAAGGTGGCGGGAGGGAGGGAGGAGAGTTGCCGCGCGCGGTTCGAGGCGTGTTTGAACGGCAGCAGGGGGGTGGTAGACCGGACTCGCCTTGCGTTTCGCAAATTAATTTCGCTTCTGCTGAACTGTAATATATGTATGTGTGCGGCAGCAAGGCCCAGCACCCCTACCTCCTCCTCCTCCTCCCCCCACAACCACCACCGTCTTGAATCGATGCAAGTTGCTGCCTTGCTAACATGCTGCCCTTCAAATTGCTCGGTGGGTAGTCGGCGTTGTTGCTGCTTTGCTGCTCGACGTGGGGGGGTGTTGCAGGAGGTTTGGCGTGGCTGCTGTGTTTGTGGCAACATGGTTGAGAGGGGCTGTTGTTTGGCTTTCGTCAGTTTTCACAAAAAAGGTGTTTTGTTTGTGCGCGGCACGCGAAGCCAAATTACAATTCGTTCTTTTAGCATTTGACGCCGTGAGATTCTGCTGTGTGTGGAGTAACTGCAGTCGGATCTTACAAGCTCGTGGGATTTAAACATCTGCAAGCTCGTGCGGTTACAGTGCTATACTCTTAACAGTAACGATACTCGGTTGGATCTGCGAATGGCAGCGGATGCACCTGTCAAATTTGCGTATTAGTTAACTTTTTTTTTGCTTGTTGATTGAACCATTTTATATTCCCTTGCTTGTTAGTGTACATTTAATCATTACTATGGAACAACTGTGGATGTTTTCTTTGTGTGCAGTATTTCTTGTTCCGACTACATTTGCGGAGCACACCGCTTTAATCCCCGTTGCATTTCCTGCGTGTGTCCGAACATAGCAGGTACTGTACCAAACATCTATGCGTGTTTGTTTTTAAGTAACCTGTATAACACTTCAACCAATCCATGACCACGCGTTTGACCCATTTTGGTTGTTTTCAGCATTATCTAATGGCGTGGGTAACAGCTCCTGGGTAGCGATTCGCATTGCGCGCGATGCACATTTAAATCGCTTTGCTGTTTTGGAACGTCAAGTAAAATTGCAGAGGCGACCTTGCCTAGTTACTGTACAAGCAACTCTTTTATGTATCGGGTTGTCGCTTTCATTAATGCCCGCCGCATTTGTATAACAGCTGCTGTGATGCCACTGGTCTTGGCTTTGGTCACTAATGCGTCAAGCCCCCTCCCCGGATTAAAGACTTGAAGCGGGAGATTGTAAACAACATGTGGTTGTGGGTTGTTCTCATGAAACAACTGGATGGGCCATCGATTCCGGCTGTTGCAGTTATTGACACCCACAGGTTCCACTGGGTTTTATTTATCACACCGTAGTATGACACATTGCAACAAAGGCACTATTATCTAAATACGCAAGAACGGCCAGATTTTCTTTTTTTACTTAACGCGTGCTTTACAGAATTTAGATTGCACGCTTTTGACCATAACGGTCTAGTGTTCTGAATGCTTCAGTAAAATAAAAGTGTGGTTGTAGCAAAAAAAAGTCTGCACATTTTCCCATCTGTTACTGTGTAAATCAGCCTGTTGCTCATATAAAACTTGCATCTTGATAAAACCATAACTCTACTAACAAATGGAATGTTACGTATATGGAAAAACTGGTAATCTTGGGAGGAAAACGTTAATATTATTGACACATTACTGGAAGTACAGCCGCGCGACAGACACGTGAGTCTATAACCAAATTCATGCAAAACATGCTATACATAGTCTTTGGCTCGCGCATTTACATTTTACATGCTTGGTTAGGGGGTTTGACCATTCTTTACATTTTTACTTTTACCCTCAATATGTGCGCATGGAATCGTGCGTGATAATGCACGAAACGTATATGTTCTGTGTAATACTCGTCATTTTGAGGACCCCAGGTGACTTGAAAATGACACTATCCTCGCCTCTTGAAGTTCCCACGTGGTTAAATAAAATAACTCCCGTGGCCACTAGAGGCGCCAGCTTTCACCGCATATGAAAAATGGAAATCATGACGAGACACTGCAGTCAACTCAAATTACAAATTATGTCACCAATTAATATACTCTACATTATGATAGCGAATGACACAATTACTATTGTAATCGATCCCAGGTCTGATCATGACCCTGAGTCATGACAATTAAATTAATCTTAGGGGGTTGCATGTTTTACACTTGTACTTGGTAAAGATTGCTACAGAATGTACACTAAAATGGAATGACGGGAGCACATCATCTGGGAGGGACTGATGCTCCAACAATAAACCCATGGATCAAAGAACTGAGCGCAAATCACAAATATCAATCTACCAACTGGTAGATGGAAACATGACACTCCTTAAAAAGTCTGGAGTCTCAGCGAGGCCTTCATGTTTAAAGACGTGTAATAAATAGTGTGGAAACATTTCCGAATAACCGATAACACAGTACACATTTGTCATGGCATATACAGCATTGCTTCCTATAGTTGTCGTCCTAGGAATGTGGAATTTCCACCACTCGCTCAGGACCACTAAAGGAGATGGATGAGCGCCGAATCTTTTACCACTGGGGCAAGGAGGGGGGTGGGGCTATTTTAGGACCGCGTTAACTCGGCTCATGATTCAGAAGCTGGCGGAATGTGAAATAATACAAAAGGTGAGATGTTCAGGTTAACGGTCATAAGGTCAGTTGGCTCAGGTGCTTTGAGGTTAGGCTCGGGGTGGCTTGCCCTAGCTGATGGCTACTTACAATGTGTTGGCAAGCAAAAAGTAAAGAGGTTCATTTGCCCATGTGATTAAAGGTCAGGTCAGGGTGATGTCCTTTGCAGAGCCGTTCAATAAAGCTTCTTGCAGTAGTAGCAACAGCAGCTGCAACATTCGAGAGTGGATTAATGCAACTGGAGCAGAAAGTGTAAATTTTTTCTATGTTTGCGGCTTCATGTTGCTCCGTTTACAGTATTAGTTGGTCGAAGGCAAACAAGTGTTTAAAGAAAAACATTCTAACGTCAAGTAAAGTCGCTCTGCTTTGTATATACAGTACAGTTATGGAAGGCAAAACAAACGTGAATGTTATTAAAATATGGCATTTTAATTAAACACATTAACTCTGGAAATGAGCTGAAGAAAGTATTATGCAAAGTTAAATATAGTATCCTACAGTATAGAAGACCTAACAGAGAATGGCTTGACGACATACGAGATTGGTGCCAGAAAGATGTGCACTACTTGAGCATATTGGCACAATACGGGAAAATTTAAACAAATGACGAAATGTGCAGTGGACACATACTGGACTACCCATGGATCGTGATGATGATGACAGTATATTAGTTTCATGTAAAAAGTGTTAAGTGAAATGGCACAATGGGTGTACACTAATGCCCCCACCCCATTATATTACATAGAGTAAATATGCATTGAACTCTATTGCATAATTGACACAGTTAAATAACAGGAAAGATTCGAGCAATAAGCACTACGTGGGCTACCAAAGGGGACCCAAAAGTAAAACAATTACACCCACTGGCCCCCGCCTTTTAAGGCCCCCGCCTTTAAGGCCCCACTCTCCCCCAGCATTCCTGCCTTTGTTTTGGTCTTGCAAAAAAACACACTGGGGAGAAGTTCTCGGTGTTCTTTTTCCAGTGGCGTTTCTTCCTTCCTGCCCCGCATCGACTCATGGCCATCCCTTTCAGTTTCTGGCTTGGCGTTATTTGGGCGTTTGAGGCAGAGCCCTTCTAGTTCGTGACTTTATGGGCCCAACTCGCCGGTCTTGCAAGCTTCTCGTATTACCGTGGAGCAAACTGATGGCTCCAACAGATGAATCTGTCTCTTCCCCCCCTGCCCCCACGTCGTTTCCTGGGAGCTGTAACTAACTCGTTTAGTAGCGGTGGTAGCAAAGGCAGTACGATCGTAACAATTCTGGAAGCAGACACATTTGATGTCATTTAACTTTATGGTCCCAATAACTTATGAGTTCATACTTAGTTTTACTTTGTGAAGATGCCATGTGTAGTAAGAGTGGAAGACATTTCGACTGAATGAAAGGCACTTTTTGCTGACGTGAAGGTAACTACTGAACTTCATGCAATATTCTTGTGCAGTTATTTCAGTCTTTATGGAAGGGTCGCTTTCAGAAATACAGTACTATATGTGTTTATATAGTTATGCAAAATAATCGTTTATTTTTTTCATCTTCCTATAACCACACGCTAAAATGATTGGTAGTATAATTACCAAAAACTGTCAATAATATATTTGAAGAGTAGTTGTAGTGAATGAGTTGGCTTGTAAATTATATTTTGTGTATATTTTCTGAACTTACAACTTGCTTCCAGAGTCAATTACTTTCATGCAATTATGTATGGAAATGTCATTTTTGAGGGTGTATTTTTGCTCAAGCTTTTAATAAATGCAAGCTATATTTAATAATTGTGCAAAAATAAAGCCCATGTCTTAAAACCTCTAACTAATGTACCACTTGATATTTAATCCTCAGAAAAGTAGAAAAATCTGTTCCTGCTTTTTTAATGCGGAACGTGTTTTGCAAGGACTCCAGATGTTTTTTTTATTCAATTATATAGTCCATGGGGTTAAATTAATATCAGCTTTGGAAACTATGTCAAAGTATAACTGCATTAAAAAAGCAATGCAAATTGCTATAATTGCACCTTCACCAAGGAGCATGTAAGTGAGACATACTCTGGCTCGCACTGAATTAAAATGTTGCCTCTTGCTGTACACATTAATCTCAACTTCACCAAATGTTGAAATGTAACAGTGCAAAGCAATACGAGCCAGACTGAAGTTTGCATGACATTTGGATTTACAGAAACCGTATTTAGGAATGGTTTTTTTTACGAAGACATTCCAAACAACTTTGGTCTCATCCACCCTTATGCCTTGAATACATGACGTTTCTGCAGTTTTGCTACACAGTGTGACACTGGACTCAAAGTGTACACGTTTTAAGGGGCCGAGGGCATCTTGTTTAAGTGGTAATGTTATATTTTGTATTCTGAACTTGGGTTCAGGTTGTGTCAGCATGTGTCTTATTACAGTCATGCTTAAATTGAAGCAGACTACTGCTTTATTCCTGTAATTCATTTGTATTTAAAAGTATGTTTAATACAGTACAGTATAGTTACATTGCTGTTGTACATTGCTGTGGTGATAATGTGTAAATATGGATGGATAATAATCTGAAGAGTATTTGCACTGGGTTTAAGAGCCTGACTAGCAGTGTGAAGTATGGCTATATAAAATCATATGACCAACCCGGCAATGGGAGATCTTAGTGGATGAAGATCCACGAATGGATGTGGATGTCTTGATATGCTCAGAGGTTACGTTAACCAATGGTGTGCCTACTGTATTCTGTATTAATTCCATTTATTGAAGTTAGAACGTTATATCATGAGGCTTATAGTTTGAAAATGTGCAGGAGTTTATTACACTAACACGTAATACAGGAATTCATAGGAAAAATAGCCATTGTTAAATAGTGTATATGGTACTTGAATAATTATGTTCTTGCATGATGAATACTGTAGCACCCAAACATGTATCCTTGTATCCAATGCCTTATTTTCAATTAGTCATGTATTATGGATTTATTTTAATCTGGGAAATGCTGAAACAGATGTTTGTGATAATTTAGCCTAAGAATGTGACAACCAATAACACAAGTCTCAGCTGGCATTCCGGCCAATCCAGTAACTCGTTTCATTGTTGTCAGCAATGGGTAATAGGATTGGCTAGGAGAGCTTGTAACTGAAAGTTTAGGCCAAATAACAGGAAGACTCAATTGCATGACTGCTTGGAGGCAAAATTAAGGGTGCTAATGAACATGGATGTTGTAAAGGGTTAAGCTCACAGTTACTGTGCCCAACCAGTGTTACCTTCCATGCTGTTGAATCTCTGCACTATCTCACTGCTGAATCGCAGGTTCAAACAGGAAGCCGAGGTACGCGGACGTAACCCGTGACCCCGAGCCGGCTGCGCCGTCCATCAGTAGAGCAGACTCGGAGCAGCTGCCTACTCATGGTATGCAAGCAAATCCTCACAACAAGCAAACCTGTTTGCCAGCCTGTCAGCAGCTCATAACTGAGGAGCGTGTGTGTGTGTTTTTGCAGCAACCATTCTCCATCAATTTTTTGTTGTTGCGTGCATTTCCACAAAGGTGCGGGATGTGGGAAAATTGTTATCGTGCCTGGGGTTCTTTGGTTTTTCAGGTTACAGTCAATTTATTGCACATATTTGCGTTTCATATTGGGATGAAATGTTTAAATGAAATGTGTAAAAGCATGTTTTATTACATGTAAACCTTCAGAATATACAGTATGAATAACAAGCACTTTCAAATTGGAGTGATGTACATCTTTGCTGACATTTTTTTACATGTAACTTTTGTGCCCATTGTTGAGTAAAGAAAATCACACATAGAAAATGTAATATGTTGAACTTTTCCCTCCTGTGAGTTAAAAGAGCATGCTTTTGAAAAAAAACCTATCTCTTTACATCGTGTTATTGCTACAAAGTTTAGCATCAATCCTCGCCACAAGCCCTTATCCCTCCCATACTCTTACTGGCATGTTGAAATTGTGCTAAGGCTGTAGGAATGTGTCAGATGAAAGATTCGGTCTCTACTAGAGGTGGGCGGGGGGGGGGCAGATTTAGGATTTAGTCATGGAGTGAGCCGTTTCTGGATGGTGAGCAGGGTCACTTCATAGCTGACACCATTGACAATGAGGCCAGCGTAAGCCCAACGTCTCAAACGAGTACCACAGATTTCAAGAAAATATCTGCGTTTTCTGCAGTTAACGTTTGTGAACTACAGTATTTTTCGCACGTAAATGTAACATTCTAACATTATTTTGTAACTGTTAAGTTCAGTAGCTTCGTTGTGATTGCATGTATAATGCGATAAACGGGCTACTTACCTGCACTACCAGACATCCACCAGTAGCGTGTGATGTGTGGGCCACCAAGGTTCCCCAGACCCCAAGAGGAGGGCTGGGGGAAGATTCCAGGTCCCTCTGGAACTCTCTGGAAGGGAGGCATGGCCAGGGGCGTGAGGACCCTGGCAGGTGAATAAAAGCTGGACCCCTGACCCGGGTTCGGCAGTGTTCCTCAAGCCGAAGACTGAAGACCGGGCTTAGAGTAGGACCCTGAGGCCCCCAGACCTGCTGTCCTTCTAAGGGCCGGGGCTGAGGTGGGACAGTGGTCAGACCCTGGGTACCCCAAGACCCGACGTCCTTGTAAGGGCCGGGACTGAGTGGGCCAGTGGCTGGGACCCGAGGACCTTGGCTGGGTCGGGTCGGGATAGCCTCCCCTAGGGCCCCTAGCCGGAGGGCTGAGTGCAGAGTGGTCCCCAGTGTGAGGAGGCACGATAGCCCGGAGGTCATAACTCCCCAGGTAGCGGGTGTATGGGGCCGTTACCCCTTTGTGTTAGAGACCCTGTACACTTGTGTTGTTAAATAAAAGTGTCGCCTCAACTACCGGCTCCCCCTTCGTCCTTGGGCTCACTACACACTACACACGTGTAGTGAGCCCAAAAAATAATGACAAAAATCACTTCATTTTCTTTTATTATATCGAAGTGCTTTGCCCAGTTATGGAATTACTCTTTGGTTATTTCGGTAAATACTCTTTGGTTCTATTCGATAAAGTCACGTACGTAAAAAATAAAATAAAAATCACGACGTTTCGGCCACAACACAAGTGGCCTTCATCAGGTGAAGGGACCGTGCTGTCATGAGAACAGCATTGGAGGTAAAGTCACGTAGAAATACATTAAATTAAATAATATTAGAATACGACGTTTCGATTGCAACACAAGCAACCATCATCAGGTACAAATGAATGAAAACACAAACATAGTTAACTTGTAAATATAATGCAATACAGCACAGAGAGTCGGCCAACACAACAGTCAATACCCCACCTGGTTGATTATGTTCTTCTAAAGATTTGCCGTGCTTGTTTGTTTCACACTCAAACTTCTAATTTAGCAATCTTTGGAAGAACATAATCAACCAGGCTATGCGTTAACTGTGTGCCAACTGACTCTCTGTGTTGCATTGCAAAGTACACTTCCTAATTTTACTAAATTTGCTTTCTACCGTGCTTGTTCCGTGCTTGTTTATAAGTCCATTCTCTCTGGCCGCTATGGGCAGGAATTCCACACAACGCTCCGTGCTTGTTTGTTTAGAAGTCCAGTTTCCAGCTCGTCCGTCCGCTATGGGCAGGAATTCCACACAACTCCCCCTCTGCTCCCCCCCCCCCTCTCTCTATTTAAGGCCTCGACACAGAGACGTATTTCTGTGTGCCTATGTGTGTGTCTCTCTCTGTTTGTCTCTGTGTGAGTCTTTCTTTGCTTGTGTGTCTGTCTGTGTGTCTCCGTGTCTACGTTTTGTCTCTCTCAAATTTAGCAATCTTTGGAAGGACGTAATCAACCAGGTGGGGTGTTGACTGTTGTGTTGGCCAACCGTCTGTGTTGTATTGCATTATATTTCCAAGTTCACTATGTTTGTTTTCTCATTCATTTGTACCTGATGATGGTTGCTTGTGTTGCAATCGAAATGTCGTATTCAATTATTTAATTTAATTTATTTCTACGTTTCTTTACCGAAAGACCCAAAAAGTAATTCTTGCAGTCACAAAAGCTTAGAATCTAGTTATGTAATGTTTTGCGTTTTGTATTTGAATGCATGATGGTTTGTTTTGTCAGTGTATGGCTATGTCCTGAGCTATTATAATGGTGCCATTTCTTCTGTGTAACTGACCATTTGAATGTTCGTGTATGCGACAACTTGCTCACAGGCTCTACGAAGGCACTTCTTGGCCCAGCTCCTTGCAGCGATGAAACTGCACATGCCCTGATGACACGCTTGGGCTTCCTCCTGGGAGACAGGGTCCTCACCTCCAATTCTGGCTCTTTACAGCTGCATACTGATGGCAGAAGGAACCAAAAGGTCTGCTGTTGGGCAGATCCACTGCCTTTACTGTTCTTTTCCAGTTGTTGAGTATCACCAAAGTCAAGTTACTTTTTTTTCTCATTTTACAAAAGAGCTATTGTATTTCACATTAACATTCTGTCCGTGTACAACTTTTCAGTAAAGTACAATGTTGCATATCCGACCATCCCATGTCCAAAGTGACCAATCAAGTGCTAACACCCAGTGTAGTATTGTGCATTGTGACTATCATTTCTATAAATATTCACAAATCAAACCACCTCCCATCCACTTATACCATATTCCCTAGAAAGTCAGATATGTGACGCAATGTATGTTGCTGGAAAGTGTCTTTTACATGTTAAGATGGCTTCTGTTTTATCCATATCTATGACTTTAAATGCACTTCTCATTCATAAGTTATGGTAATGTGCCATTTCTTAGTTAAGAGGTGCATGAGTTGTACTATCTGTTTACACACGTTGGACTACTCATGTTATATTACATGTTCTGTAAACCATCAGAATTCATGTAACTGAACTCCATTGTAAAATTGGCCGGTTTAACTATGTATATGTGTATGTCTTTGTGACATGTATCATCCATGAGACTGAGATTAGGGTTTTTCATTATTTGACCTCAGGATACAGTAATCGCATTGGAGTGAATGTATAAAGTATAAGATAAAGCCTCTGTCGTTTCTTCTTTGCCGAATGGATATTGGGGGGGAGTGGCACTACCAGATGCAAGGGTTACATCGAACACAGTTGAGTGTCATTGTGGACTTAGCAAAATAGAATACCAGGTGTGGCCAGTAATGTCAATCTGTGTAGCATAGCATACATACACTGTATAAGTGCATTACCGGTCACACTTGACATGGGGAATTGGACAAATCTGTTGAAGGTCAGAGTCATCTTTCCTAACAAGTTATTTAGCCACGAATAAAAGCTGGCCGACATGTGCATGGAAAAAAAATGTAGATATTTGTAGATGTACTTTTTACATATGTTTACTATTTTTTTGGCTAGCTGTGTGCAATGGAGCAGGGAATCAGCCCTTCTTCCACATTGACCAGCAGCTCGGCTTCTCCGCACGCTTCAAGCCCGTGCTCCACGCTCGCTGGGCCATCCACCAGGGGTGCCCCCCCCCTCACACGCTCCTGTCCCTACGGCCTCGTCCCCACTCCCAGCTCTACTCTTGAGAGCAAGGACAGCGGAATCATTGGTAAGACGTTCCACATCACCAGGGGCTACTCACGCACAGCAGCACTACTGGTAAGGCAGGCAGTAGCTGGTCTTGCCTCTCCAAACTTGTGGCCTCAGAAAGCCATCACGGCTGCATGAGCCCCATTTACTATTTTTATATTGGTTTTGTTTTTGCTGGCGCAGCATAGCGTCATCAACAGCCATTGTCATTCTACATTGACGTACCGCAGACATGAATGCAATATATCTGACCAATTCAGTGTTATGACGGTGCCTGACTCACAAAGAGAAGATGACAATTACAAATCTCTGTTGATTCAGGATCTAATATTTATTTTAATACAAGATATCAGTGGTTATCTTATTTTAACAAAATGTTCTCTGCTATGAGTTGTATTTCCTCCACTAGCACAGAAACACCATAGTAGATGGTGGGTGCAACTCAAATGAGCATTGAGTGTGGACAATATGAAGTAAAAATGCATAAAATGATCGATTCATTTGATTCTAAATCTCATGCTACGTGTATCGAATCATATATGAGAATCAATGTTTTTCTATTTGTATATGTTGTACATGATGGGTTCACTCGATCCCTGAAGCCAATACATTCACCATAATTGCAAAAATGTAATTAGTTCACGAATCAAATCATGACTGGATCACAACATTTTATTGAATGATGGAGGGAGTTTATTGTTACACGTTTATGAACACACATTATCACATCAGCGATGGAAACCTTTCTATCACTGACAGATTTGGCTGTAATTTATTCTGGGTGGGTACAACTCGGTAAAAAGATTGCTTGCAACTCGCAGTGTAGGTAAATTACATCTGTAACATGTCTATGCGATTACAACACACTGTAGAGCAGTGGTTCTCAACCGGGGGTATGCAGATCCCTGGGGGTATGTGGCAATGTCTCAGGGGTATGTGAGGTGATTTATAAATGTGTGAAATGTTGTCATACATGAGTCATTGGTGAATAATCATGTATGAATCTGCAAATATAAAATAACTACGATAACATTTTTATCCATTTGGTAACCTCGAACAATGTAAAAAAGACCTTTCTTTCATTGATCGTAAACAATGATTAACCAGCGAGCACGAACAAATTACATCATTCATGCACTGCGTCCTTTGAATATATATTTATTCGCTTGCAGTTACTAGCTCGTTAGGATTCCTCACAAAATGGAGAATTGGTTAAATTATTGATGTTCATTAGTCATACATTTATTTCTCAGAAACATGTTGGGTCAGGCAAGGGGTACTCGTTTAAAACAAAATTCGGCAAGTGGTACAGTACCCAAAAAAGGTTGAGAATCATTGTTATAGATATTTTATTGTAGATACAAAATTGTTGAAATATTTTAAACACTCAAAAAAACTAAAACTGGAGCATTATACGTTTCATGACTTTTACAAATGGTTACCAACAAAAATAACTTTAGTTTAAGAGCATATGGGAAATGGATAGGTGGCAAACCCAGAGACCTTGGTTAGATTCATAGCCATGGCCAACATCAGTGGCGATGTGATAACTGAACCTGTCCTGCCCCCCTCCTACAACCCCTTCACCAACCCGCACTGACAAGTGTGGTGAAACGGTAAAACATCTCCCATGACCAATATGGTGTGTGGAGGCCTTGATCCAACAGTGGATTGACAAAAGGGGCTGTAAGTTAACTTATATTAATTAACTGTGGGAAGTCATCATGGAATTTGAAAGCAATTTTGTGGTGATGTAGAGCAGTGTGAAAAAGGTTTTAAGGCAAATGGTCCATAGTGAATGCAGCATTAATTGATAAATTGATTGAAATGGTTATATAAGCGACTTGTAAGGGTATTGATGAGGGACTGTGTGCAAATGGTATAGAGTAGGCTACCTTGATTAATGTGACAATGAGGACTGATTAAACAAAGATTAAATTAGATCCTGGTATACCTATTAAATGTATTAAGCTGTATGCAAATCATAGCGTGTGAAGTGAAGGGGGGGGGGCAGAGAGTGCGTATTCAACACATCCTCTGGTCCTAGGCCTGGAAAGCGTGATACGATGTTTGCACGGCCAGCACTCATTGGTTTAAGTGTGTTGTTGGTCACTGCTTGCTGCGGCAGCCTTTTTGCCAGATTGCTTGCTGATAACAAACAGGATACAGTGGTATATCGGCAAGGGTGTGTGTTGGTAACTGTTAAGGTGTGCAAAACAAGTTTTTTTAAGCCAGTTTTTTCCATCCAAAATATGACCGCATAAATTGATGTTTACAGATAATGTGTTCGAATGTACGAGTCTTACGTTTATTTTAGTGGAGTTTTAGTTAGAAATATGTATTGATTTGTATGATTATTCACGTTTTAGTTATAATAATAATGATACACGAATGACATAGGCACAAATTAAGTTGAGCTTTATATTTAATTAAATTTGGCCGTACGGATTGTTATAAATTCCAAGCTGGATCTTCTTACCTTACCAACAGCAAGCCTTGTGCCTTTTAAATGCTCATGAAAAATATATGACTTGATTGAAAAGTGTCTCCTATCTGCAATTGTCTCCTGTGGGGCAGCTACAATTACAAGGTCTAGTGCTTACATGGAGCGCGGTGGCTGCAGCTTGGATCAGATTGAGGAGAGCAGCCCACCGGACGACCCGTCCGACAGCAGTCGACCTGAAGAGCTCAACGAGGCCTCCTGCCATATCCCAGAAGAGCCCTCTCACCGACGTACTTTTCTTGGGGACCATTTTAAGCGTTCTGCCACCCAACTGGAGCCATATGAGATTGATGCATTTACGGGCGACCGTTCTGATGGGTGCTCTGATCAAGCAGGCTCATCTCAGATCCTTGGCTTCTCGGGCCGACGGAATGATCAGCACATTAACCGTCTGGTCCTCTCCAAACAACGGGATCCATATCTGGGAGACCACACCCGTTGCTACACACTCCATGGATCCTCCTTCACTTCCCTGGACGCGTCTGTGTTGGCGGATCGGCCGCCAATGGCCCCTACGCATGCGCTCCGGGTGTACGGGATGCCGGGTGCGGACGAGCTGCATTCCAGTGCATCCTTTAGCCTGAGCCGCAGCACGGAAAAGGGTTTGGACATCTTCCCGTCGCATTCTACCTACTCCATCCCCACCTACCTGACACCTCGGCCCAACTCGGTGGCAGGTACGACCCAAAATCTCAAATAATGTGTTGGACACGATGCTCAACACTAAACAATGGGACAGTCTGTCATGAGATTAAGGGTAAAGTTGAGTAATCAAGTATTTCCTCTTTTGGTCGTTATCAGCACACACTGACGAAACTTATCTTGCAATGTTGAGAATTATTCTGATAAAAGGAAAAGGTAAATAATAAATGTAAAACAAATTATATAGGTATTTGGTTCTTTCGGTAAAGTCACGTAGGTATGGATTCCTGCAGTCACGAAAGCAGGAAAATCAAGATTAAATTATACAGTTGTTGATACTGTCGTGTTTACACTGTGGCTTCCAACATCCCATGCAAACACCCCACCTCCCATTCTTGTTTAACTATTAATGGTCGCGTTCAACACATTGTGGCATAATCTGTGTATTGCCTGAATTCCTCGTTTATGAATACGGAAGTTGTTGATATGATAAGATACTGAGTAGAGCTACATTCAACATTAACATCACCGTCTGTATTGAGATAGTTCATGTGTATTCGTTTGAGATAGTTCATGTGTATTCGTTTGAGTAACTGAAAAAAAAACAGGAAAAGGCAATAAACTTACAACGTAAAATATTTATAACTGACTTTCAACTAGGCCTCGGCAAGGTAAGGTAATTTACCCTTTTTACCGGGTAAAAGGGTAAAGGTAAAGGGTAAAGGTGTCGACATGCCAAGGGGTAAGGTAAAGTGTAGGGTAAAGGTAGCTCGGTCTAATTACCCGGTAGGGTAAAGGTAGCACAAAGTATTACCCGGTAAATACGGTGCCTTGTTTACTGCTAAAAACTCCGTGGTGCAGTCCGTGGCCTCCATTTAATAAGTAATATTTTTTTAAAAAGTTTTTTTTAAACACGCTTTTATCAAATGTACTCGTAATGGAAGAACTCCACGACTCCAGGAAGTGGCCCCGAAGCTTGCCACAACGTAAGGGACCGTGGCCAATTACAGCCAATTAGACCCAAGCCGAAACATAACATATAAAAAAGAATGTTTAAAAATATTTTTATTTTATTTTTAATGATAGAATATAGTATTGTCATAAGTATGACATAAGTATACCAAGTTCGCAGTCGAAACCACATTGGGAAGTGGGTTAAAATTGAGTTACAAGATTTGAAGATACGACAACAACGACAGAGTGAGTTAAAAGAAAGCGTGTAAAATTGGAATAATCGAGAGTATTCTATATGAATTAAGCACTCTATCTAGCATTTACCTGTTATAAACCTTTTTCATGTGTAGTACCCCAGTAATTACCCTGTAATCGGGTAATTTGTATGAGGTAAGGGTTAAAGGTAGGGTAAAGGTAGGCTCGTTGCTTTTTACCATTTACCTTACCTGCGGAAGGGTAAAAGGTAGGGTAGAGTGATTGTATTGTGGTAAGGTAAAAGGTAGGGTAAAGGTAGGGTCGTTGTTTTTACCTTACCTTGCCGAGGCATACTTTCAACACCGCAGGGAAATGCCACTATATTAATAATAATTTAAATTATTGTACAGTATCATTGAAAAAAATATGTAAATTGAGTTTCAGTATTAATTTTGTTCAGGAATGAAAATTCAGTACAGTACTACAAATGGCATCCTACGACTTTAGTTACGTGAAATTTATAAAACCAGAGTATAAATTATAATGTGTTCATGTGGAGCTGATGACCTTTGTAATTTATAAATATACGTTATGCATTGTGCAGCAAATGAAAATCGTAACTGTGGTTAGGGAGTAAAATAATGAAATATATTGTTTCCATTGGCTACGCTGAGAGTTAGTATTGTAAGAGCAAGTCATTGGGTGCTGGGAATTGATTACCATCTACAGTAAAAGCACCAACTGCTGCTCTGTTAAGCAAGACCGGTTAAAGGGCACGTTTCATTTCGAAGCTTTACATCCTGGGTGTAGTGTGCGATGCGGTAGCCTGGGATGAATTTCATCTTGACACTGGTAAGTGGACTGTATTTATAAAAACAGTGTACGGGACGGGCATCGTATCCGTCACAAAAAGGTTATACTCTGTGTTAAAATAGGTTACATGCAGTGGTGTAATGTCAGAAGAGTTTCACGTGGTCGTGTTTGCTGTCAGACCTGTTGGGTTTGAAAAGCTGCCAGGGCGGTAAGAGGGACAAACAGTGTGCCTCTGCGTATGTAGAAATCTTCAATACATAGCACGGATTGAAGAAGGGACAGGAACTTTGGACCTTGGGAAGGGTTGGGTGACAGGTGCAGCTCATGATTTTTTTCTGATTATTAACAATGTGAAGGTTGTCAGGGTACACAGTACAAACTCTCAGGTACTTTGCATTGGCCATATGCAGTGCACACCTGACTTACATCATACAAGAGAATTTGTATTTAATTCTTGAAGTGGCAATTTATACAGTACAATATTGACTGTGTGTTGAGGTTATCAGACATTTTGACAAACCATACAAATCTAACTTTGATTTAAAAGTAATTAGAAAGTAGCAGTGTATTTGAAAAAAAGGTGATATAAATATATACACTATATTTATTCTATATATGACACCTTTATGATAATGTGTGTATTATTACGTTTGTACAAACATAGTGTAAAATATGAACACTTGTTTTCTTTGACTCTTCTATATTGCCCGCCACTTTACATTATAGACCGAGCCCCACTGTTTTTAAACAATGATTGAACAAATGTATTATACAGTCTAACGAACTCCTTCAGAAACTAAATAAATTACAATAACAAATATACATTCTTTACCAAAATACTTACCTGGATAATCTTGTCCTGTACGTACGTACACAGTGTAGATTATTTGAAACACCATAGCTTATGTAGTAAATCATATTTTTTTTATATTCAATGCTCTAACCAGTGTACTTTGGGGAACTTGAGAACTAATGATCTAATCGAGGCTTTTCAGCCATTGGCTGCGAAGAAATCGCGGTGGTGGGGGTGTCACACCAACTGACATTCGTCAGGGGCCATGGCCACATGGTGGCTCTCTAGCCCTGTCGCTTATAGCCCAGTGCCTCATGGGCAACAGGAATGTCTCCTGAAGAACAAAACTAGCATCAATAGCAGCCTGTTCTGCCTAAGTATTGAGCATCGACTGCTGGCTCTGGTAACACCATGCCTTGGCAGGACAGGAACCAGCGCTTCTTGGGCAGTCCCATATTTTGAGGTTACAAAACATCGGTTCCAGGAATTGAAAGATGACACAAACGTGATCTGGAGCATATGTGGAACATGTGTACAACAGCATATAATGGGAGGGTGATTAAAATATGATACTGTCTTTACTTTGAGCGATTTTTCAAATTGGTGGGTTCGGTAAACACTTGACTGGCAAGTTTTGTCATTTAGAATTCTTACAGGAGTGAATCAAACAGACAAAGCACCCTTGTAGGCATGTAAAGTGAAAGGAAACTATACTCTTTGGTTCTTTCGGTAAAGTCACATAGGTATATATATTTTATACCTACGTGTCTTTACCAAAAGAACCAAAGAGTATGGATTCCTGCAGTCACGAAAGCTTCAAATATAGATTGAAAGGAATCTGTTTATAAAAAGGGACTGCTTCAGTCACCAGTTAAACGGCAAGCATCGAGTAATGTAATATATGAGAGCTTCTTTATAAGTGAGGTAAACCATTAATCTAACACTGTTTTCTATAACATTTTACCAAAGTTATGTCTGGGGAAAGTTCATTTGGTTAGGTTTTGTGTTTTCTTTGGATTTTGATTCAGGTAAATCTCCAAATCTGACATTACATATTTCTCCGTCTCATCCCACGCCTCCAGAGATCATCTGTTATTCTGAAAGAGTCCTGTCTTGGAATACATATTTACAGCAGTACAGCTTATGATGATCACAGCTGATGGCCATGAAAATAACAACAGGGACAGTATTATTCTATTTCCAGGCATTCCTATGGTTGTGTAGTGATTTAATAACATTCAAACTGATGCTAATACTGTACATATTTGATTCCTGTGTCTATTTTGTATAAATATTTATTTTTCTTTTTATGCGGAAATATAATACAGTACTTAAGTATTTTTCTGAATTTTGAATTGATGGAATACTGCCACGGTGTGATGGTTAGCACACGAGACTTGGAATCCAGAGGTCGCCGGTTAAGTTTGATCACCTGGTGTGGAAACAATAGTACATCATGGTTCATAAATTAGCAGATTGTGTGTTGTGGGATAAAGTGTGGGTACTCCCATCCCTTTCAAGATGTCTGATCAGTGTGGAAGAGTAGGCCAAATTCCCTCTCAAAGGTCTTTCTAGACTGTCTAGGGGAGTCCCTTCTGCCACTAGTGGCATGTGCAAGCAATTTAAGGGCTGCACCTTTAATATTACAAAGTGATACTGTATTATATTGTAAAAGGAGCGTTTTAAATTATGCCTTTGACATGGATGACTACAGAATTGTTTATTGGTTCTCATAGAAAACTATAAATATTTTTTTAAAAACCTAGCAAACCAGCCTAGTAATGGGGGCTCCATTTTTGTTAGGGATCCAACCGTATAAAGAACTTGGCACAGAAATGTGAAAAAGCACAAACGACCAACACGTTATATTAGTCGTGCGGACTTAACACTCAACCACCCACGTTCTGATGCATGCGAATACACCCACGTGCTTGCTTTACAACACAAACTCAGACAGATGTGTAGCTTGTAATTTGCATACGCGCTTACACCACAACGCCTGTAACACTTGTGTGGTAATTGTGCTGCAGTGCAGCGTGAACATTCATTTTTATAGTAAATCCATTTTAAAACGTAATTTCATATCCAATTTTGCTCTCGCTCTAGAGATGTGGGCATTTGTACTGGTGAACTGTGGCAAGTCTCAACGGTTGGTGTTGGAGACGTTTTTGTGAAAAAATTTACGTTTCTATATATTGATGGACAAAACAGATAGATGGTGGGAACATTTTCTGATTATAACAATCAGTAGCCGATCAGTTTAATAAAAAAAATCTGCCATTCGGCATTAAACTGCGTGAACTATAGCTTCCTTTTGGGCTAAACACTATGTAACTCATTTTCAAGAAGTATATGTTTTTTAAAGATGAAGCCACTCCAGAAGGTTTATAGACACTTTTGAATGGCATGAAATATTAATGAAAATGGATTTTGTTCAGGCCTTTAAATTATTCACATTTGCCAATGTTTGCACAAATTTGTTCCAAACTCTCAAGATCAGAAGGTGATATTTGATTCACGCATGCTTGCTGTTATGCTTGCGCAAGTGTATATTGTATTCCCACTTATCCTGAGATATACTCTGTGACTCCCATTTTGTAAAGGTTTTTAGCAAATCTCTCACTCCCTTCACTCACTGCCCGCTTCCAATCCCCCAAGCCTACTTCGCAGCCAAACAGTTATGAGCATGCTGTTGTGGTGCTGTGTATGAATAGTGTTTCATGGGGAAAACAGTGTGTATACAAGCATTTATTTAATTGTATGAAAGACGTAAGAAATATTGTAGTGACTGTGTGTATACTTCATTCAAGTACACCCAAATTGTTCAGTAATGAAGTCATAAGTAACTAAGATAAAGTTAATTGTTTTATCTGTAAGCCAGGACTACATTCCTTGTGCATGGAGCTGAGGCCACTTTCAAGGTTCAATCTGAATATGCTGTCTTGGCAAAAAATGCAAACAGTGGTTTATGGTGAAAACGGCTGTGTGGCTCAAGAGGAAATGTAATCTTAGGTGAAATATGCACATGTATTTAACAAATCTAAACCTGGATAAATGTCATGAAAAATTTGTAATGTTTTAAAAGCGAGATATATAGCACAAAATATGTTGATAGACTTTCCAAGCATATGCATTAACTTTATTTAAAGTACATTGAACATCCATGTACAATGAAACACGTTTCCATGACCCTCTTATCCATGCATCCTCTCATACATCGGTCCATATCATTCCATGGCAACTCATGATCCTCGGGCTAATTATTCCTAATGTTTGACATTGTACAAAATGCGTGTCACCTAGAAGTGGTCTTTGTGAATGCTAAATTCGTCATATTCATCTGTTTTTGTGAATAAGATAATTATGTGGATGATGAAAATGCCAACACTGGTTGTTCTTCTCCTGCTGTTGGTGTCGCTTTTGCTGTTGACAACGCCGATAGTAATGATGATGTGACATCATGCTGTTACTGCTGATGATGATTGCAATGCTAAACATCACCGCGCTATTGTTCGGAATGACCGAGTTTCAAGATTATTTTCTGGGGGTCCAGTTTTGGAATGTTTAGCCAATTACATTTTAGCAAATATTTTTCACGTGGGAGGAAACCAGGAAAACCCCACACAATACGGAGCAATACAATTTAAAGGTCCCTACAGAGAAGTTGCGGTGCCCACTTGCTGAACTGCCATTTCCTCGCCATCATATTTTGGGAGTTTAACGAATCGAGTGTCATTGATCAATCCTGCCTAGCTGCTTTCTGCGTGGTGCGCATGGTCGCATTGCACGTCGATGACACCTGTGATAGTGGCAGCCAGAGGAGAGGAGAGAGACTCCACCCGAGAGGCCAATTGCCACAGAAAAAGAGCAACGAGGTCAGCTCATGTGCAGCAGGAAATATATGGATTGTGGCATCACAGGATTGTGAATGATGGTGATAGCACAGGGAGGCCTTCATTCATCAAGAGATATACATTGATGAAGAGATGAATATGATCATTGACGATGCCATTTGTGTCACTGTCTCGTTACTGCTGATGCTGCTGCCACAGCCCTGAGGTTCAGCATGCTGCACGACATCACCACACAAGACCTCTGGACCTTCCTATTATCTGTGAATATTTTCAGACAGGAATCACCTGGAACAGATCACCAGTGGGCGCTTTGTGCATCCTATTGTCCCTGAATGTGGCACATGAGGGAGTCTTATGGACAAAATAATCTGGTCATCTGCATTTCGCCACAATTTAGTGGATTAGAGTTATTTTGATAGGTATTAGGATGAGAGCTCTTCTCTCCATTTCATAGATAACATCCGTATTTATCAGTAAAATAATTATCTTATTATTTAATAACTGTACGTTACTTTAAAAATACACCACCATACACTAACATGCAATAGAATGCAGTGGAGTGGTGGTGTAGTTGGTTCGCCTTCTCTATAAGTCCAGCGACCTGAGTTCCATTCTAGCCACATAACATCAGTGGCGAGTGATACCTGAACCAGTCCTGATACCCTCACCTTTACGAACTTGCACTGGCCGATGTAAAGTATGGTCCAAGTCGCCCCCCACATGACCACTGCAATATGGGGAGGCCTCCATCCAGTACTAGATTGACAATGGGCTGCAAATTATAAAGAATCTTAAAAATGTCCCTGAATAATTCAGATGTTTCAACAAATACACATACTGTACTCGACAGTATCTGTTTCACAAAGGGAACATCGGTTTAAACCAGCCCAAACAACAACATTGAAGACATGACATATAATATACATGCTGTTCTCTGATTCTTATTTTTGGTGAACATTTCATAAAAAAGTAGACATTTCTCAGTGGCCTCTGTTGTATCACAGTGACCTTTTGAATTCCCCTCGCCTCAGCACCAACCAGCTCTCAAGTTTGTGAAGTCGTTTCACAATGCCTGTGTGGTGTCAGCTAGGGAGTGTAGTAATGCGTGATGGCATTTATTAAGGTTTTACATCCCGACTTTACATATAACTTTTAATGTCGATGCTACTACCACATAATTGAATGCAAGGGAATTGTATTCTTGAAGAAAACTTATTTTTGCATAAAATCGTACAGCTGAGAATTTCACAGCTCTCCTGCAGTTTAAATGAAAAATGTCTCCCTCTGATTTGACGGGGTCATGTGGCATAAATAGAAGAAATTGAAATATAATTTTAAGTTGTACCTAGTTCTTTTTGTGCAACAGACGAAAGTGGAATAAATCTGACGTGTCAGAACAAACACGATGTTGAGCAGTTTACATACACTTCTCCAACCCTTAGTGTCAATCTGAGAAGAGCCACCAAATTACCGCTTCTGGAATGTCATTTTACTTATGGGACTCCTGAGTGTTGGCTCAATTACGTAGGTTACACGAGAGCTGCCAAGTTGATGTACTGTAGGAAGTCTTCGAGCATTTAAACTCCGCCTGCCTCTATAGCTCCTCGCTACCCTCCTATTTTTTTTTAGCCTCGCGATTTCCCCTTCCCCCCCTCCCCACATCTACCCAGAAACTCAGCTTCCTTCTTTTGAGCAAGGGGCGGAGGGGGGGGTGGGAGAGACCCTGAACACAAAGCTTGTTACCGCTTGTACACAGGCAGGCAAAATGTCTACAGGGTCGCCGGATAATTGAGGCTCGCGCCGGAAGTTGGATTTTTGAAAGAAACATGAGCAGCAACTTTGTGAGCCTTTTGTCTTATTACAGTAACGTGAGAATTTGTATCGAAGCGTCCCTTGTTCGACACATGGCTTACCCTCGCAGCATGAAGCATGTAAGTCATGTGGTGATGTCATCTGGTGGATATTGCTTTCTGGGTCTTCCCTGGGACTTGGAAGTAACTTGGGTAAGCTGGACTCTTGCCGTGTTTGCGGTCAGCGATGCTTTGCGCGGTCGTGCTGTGCTGAAATCCTTCTTTGGTTGACGGCGAGCAAGTAGGACGCGGTCATCTGTGCAGACAGACTTGTTTGTGTTTTAGTTCCCCTGAAGTGTGGTACAGTTAAACTCGGTGCCGCCGTACGTGGCAGCTGCTTTAGCACTCGGTGTGGTCTCGGTCTTTGCGTGAGGCGGAACCACAGCTGAGGGAACTATTTTTAGGGAGCGGGAAGGAACGATAGAGATGGATGCGTGGTGTGTAAAAGTAAAATATGTTTGGGCATGTTCAGCGTGTGCTACGTGCAGCTAAAGTTTTGTTTTCCGCTCGCGATTGTGTACTAAAAAAAAGTATTGTTAATAACTGCTTTGCATGAATACGATGCCATTGAAGAATGGACCATTTGGTGGAAGGGATATTTATGGATCAGGTTTTAGTGGAACAGTGATGTCCGTGGTCAAATTGTAATTAAAATGTTCATGAAAATGTTAGCCTCGAGAGAGGTGACCTTTAGACTTCAGAGAAGCTGGTAGCTTTCATATAGTTTTGTGGCAGTTATAAATGTGTAAAGCCTCTACACCTTTACTGGAAAGTAATTATTTAAGTTAAAATTTACATTTATATTTACTCATTCAAGTATAATCCTGGACAAATATTGGCATAACTTATTTTATGCTCTATATTGTAGTACTGTACTCAGTGACGAACATAGTGTATCGCCTAAAATGTGGAAATGCAGCATCACATAAAAATCCATGCAGATATTTTTGCCCAGCTGATGTGTTCAGGTGGTATTATCTTGTTCCCATCGTTGCTAGGAAAATATCTACATAGATACCATATTTACAAGAAAGACTGGCATTGGATTATATTAACGTTCATATATCATGCAGCAGCTCTATAAAATTAAAATCCTTTAGAAAATGACACTGAGATAATCCTAATTTCTACAGAGTACAAAATTTATATTTGGATTTTTGCTCATAGAGCCATGGTTTGCAACTTCCCTTTTTCAAACTTTGGCGTTTTATTTCCCCTACATGAGAAGTGTTCACCACTTGGTAAAGACACCCTTGTCTGTGCTGCCAGCCACGAGCTCTGCGCGGCTGGAGGACCTGAGCTTCCTGGATGAGCAGCGTGGAGTTCCCCTCCGCACATCTATGAGGATGCCACGGCAGCATCTGGCGCCTGGCCGCCCGCTGCCTGACCACAGAGGTGAGTGGCTGGAATAATGCTGCCCCTTTGCTTTATTGCTGATGACTTGTTTGCCAGGCTCTGCCACATTATTATTCGCAGACTTAGTCTCACTGCACTGATGTCCGCAAAGCCATATTCAGCCACTGTAGCCATATGGCATTTATGGAATTTCTGCCTAATGTAGTGCTTAAAAGAACACATGGTTAGTGTTATTAGTACTTCTGTCTGTCAACATATATGTTATGTATAGTTTGGTTGTAGATATGAAGGTAGGTGAGTTGTGACTAAAAGTCATCTTCAGATTACATTACTGCATATCGTTATCCATGTTGTGTTTGCACAAACTATCGCTCTTGTTTATATTTTAGAATGTCTTTTCCCCAATCCCTTCTGTGTGCATCCTTGTAGTAAGCATTCATATGCACTGGCACAGCTGGGTGATGAGAGGATGTATGTGGGACTATTTTTGGTTTGTTCAGGGAGAGACTGCCGCCTCTGAATTCTTGTCATTCTGCCAAAACATTGTAGCGTCCTCGTCCACCTTGTGCTTTACTTTGCCAGGAGTTTTGCACAAAATGAAATCAATATGGGAGGAATATTTCAGATGTAGCCTGACGCATATTTACAGAGGTGTTTGTGATCTCTTTCTAGGTATCTGATTGAACTGTCATACTTGTCAGGAGCTTACTCGTAATTTAGTTCAATTTCCAGTTTTTGTTTTACAATTAGGTACTTGGATCAACTGTTAACCCATTGTCGCTGGTGTAGGTCCAATACCTAAGTTATGACTTGGGGTTTCCTTAATAGGTGTGCATCATCATGTCAACTGATTTTCAAAAGTGAAACACGATGTGTAAGATATTACAGTGGCAGAGTGTGCAGTTGAACATTTTTAAGTTAGGACATTCGTTAATACATTTTTTAAACACCTTTACCCGTGCCAGTGTATTTAATGTGTTGCTAGTTGCGTTGTTTAAATTCTTTGTGGATACTATTAAACACAAATTATTGGGGGAATCATGGCGATACCAGCTTGTTTATGTTCCATTGCTAGCTTTCAGAGAACGCAGTGGACAGTGTAAACAAATGAAGTCATTATGACTGAAGATAGATTTAATTACAGTAAATTAAATTAATGAGAATAACCACTGGCAGTATAAACACTTGTAAGTAGCATGTTTTGGAAGAGATATCATCTTATAGCTACACACTAATGTGATGGAATGTTATGAGAAAATGCAAGCAAAAGGAACACGTATTTTACATCGTAATTAAATGTCATCTCAGTTAATAATCACATTTGAGCTGTGTTCCAATGATGACCTTTGCTGGTAATGAGATTGACGTGTGCATTGCAATCAGAAGTTAAACGGACAGCAACATTCCTGCACGTAACTTTGTTGCACACTTAAAATGTTGACCACGTTACAACTTCGCTGTTCCTATTTTGCAACAGTTTCACGTTACTAAACTGTTGCAGTATACCATGGTACTTGTATTTGATTATTGGTAACATAGGGTATTTAGGCTGAGGCCTAACACCCACTCCTCTTGCCTGCATGCTTGACCTAGAGAGATCACCCAAACCTGGCAGGGTATGTAGGAATGGAAATGCGGCTGTGATGCCTAATAATATAACAGTGTTTCGCTTTGTATATAATAGATAAAGGAAAATTTGGAACATGTGAGTATATTTACAAAAGCCGAGCTATTTTTTCGTCCATTAAAAAGAGGATGAATCCAGTTTAACACGTAGGCTTTATACATGATACATCTTAATGCTATTGCACATACCTAAAAGCCACCATGCTTGAATGTTTGCCTTTTCATTGCCTTGCCAAAATATCACAACAGTCGGCCAATCATATCACTGTTGCACGTGCAATAAGAAACATTTTGAGGAGAATTTGAACAAAGTTGTGTTGTAAGTACACACCTAGCTTTCATTCCAGTGTTACAGCCCATGATGAACAAAGTGACTTGGACAAAAAACTTGGTTGTTAGAAAAAATGTTTCCGGAAAAGTTTCTCCCCCTATATGTGTAGACTGGCTGTGGGAACCAACAAGCAAACATTCCGGGAACATTATTTTGTTACCTATTGTTGAGAATACTCTTTGGTTCTTTCGGTAAAGTCACGTAGGTAGAAAAATGAAACAAAATAAAAATAATATATCACGACGTTTCGATCACAACACAAGCGGTCGTCCTCAGGTGTAAAAAATAATCCAGCAGTGGAACTGCTGAACCAGCGAGAGAGCTGTTACAACAAGGTTATATATGTGGTGATGGGCCACACATATAACTTTACCGATATCACCAAAGAGTGTGGATTCCTGCAGTCACGAAAGCTTCAAATCATATTGTTGAGAATATAAAATAATTACGTAGTTTTTCCTTGACAAAATAATACAATTAGCAGTAGATATGGAAAAAAATAGTGTCTTTGTACCACATCGTATTTTCTTGGGATTTCTGTCATGGATTCTGTAATATATACTCGTCTTTTCAATGTAGGATTATAATTTGTGGCCCAATTTTTTTCTGAAATACATTTTACATAACAAAAATACTATTATGAAATAAATATGAATAAAAAAGTTAGCCTAGTTTGTTGAAAGTGCTATGAATAAAAAATGTACTTCAATGTGCGTTTGAAACAAAATATCTCTTCTACGTTTGCATTGAGAAATAAGAGCCGTGTCATGAATTATTTAACCAGATCGGGCTTTCAGAGCACAGAGCTGAACCGCACAGAGCTGAACCACGCAGTGGCAGGACCTCACGCGTGGCAGGTGGCATGGGTGCTGACGGATGTGCCCAGAATAAAAGCTTGTTTTACAAATCATGAGCACCACAAAGCAACCAAATGCTGAGCTCAGATTTGAAACTCGGCCCACTTGTGTTGTATATGCCATCCTTATAAACAAACGACATGTTAAAATATCAGGCACTGTTAAGAGGCATAGAATGTTAACTGCTTGCTCAAAAATAAATATAAATACATATTTGATTCACAATTCCAATTCTGTGGGAATGTATATGTTAGAATATTTTTTTGTAAATAATATTGTTCTACAATAAACTGCTTACATTTGACATAAACACAATGTGCTTGACTTGGATCTATTATATACTACATATGTACTGTTTTTCTTATTTTTCAAAACCTATCTAAAAATTCTGACTTATAACACTTACTGTTCTCCTGTTTTTTATTTGTTTTCATTTTGACAATGTTCTGTTAATTCTCCTTGCATGGCTACATCTACCCTGCATTCTGCCTATAGCTCCCAGAGTGCAGTCCTGGCTAAACCACTCAAGTAAGTGCTGCTCTCTCTTTCCATTCCTCTTACATGTCTGTGTAATTTCAAGAACAAAGTGGGTAATTAAGTTTCAGAATTGTGTTGTGTTCATGTTTTGTCATTTTAATCTACTTCAAAATACATATATGTATTTGTGGCATGGACTGTTTGTACAAACCTATAGCCGACGACAGCAAGTCTGGCACATCAGCATCTTTGAATAAATTAGACATTGATTGGGAGCTTTCGTGACTGCAGGAATTACTCTTTGGTTCTTTTGGTAAAGTCACGTAGAAAGAAAAATAAATTAAATAACAGCATACGACGTTTCGATTGCAACACAATAAATCATCATCAGGTACGAATGAATGAGAAAACAAACCTAGTAAACTTAGAAATATGCAATACAACACAGAGAGTCGGCTAACATAACAGTCAACACCCTACCTGGTTGATTGCGTTCTTCCAAAGATTGCTAAATTTTAGAGAGAGAAAACACAGACACGGAGACACATAAGCAGAGAGATAACACAGAGACACACAGAGAGAGACACACATAGGCACACAGAGAAACAATTTATTGGAGCGCTGTCTTTCCGACAGTTCTGTTTCTTCACCTGAGGACGGCTGCTTGTGTTGTGGCCGCAACATCGTGAAAATTGTATTTTATTTTTTTATTTTATTATTTCCCTTCTACGTGACTTTACAGAAAGAACGAAAGAGTAAATTTGACGTTTCGGCAACATTCAGAGGTTCGTAGTCTTCATTAGTCTAACATATCACAGTAGCGACTTCCACTCCGTGGCCCAGCTCAGTACTCAGGAGACCACATAGCAAGGTTGATGTTGAACTGGAAGTGAAAGGTGTGTACATAACCCGAAAGATGTCTCATGAAAATATAGGCTGGCATGCCCCAACTTGTTGTCGACATATTCCCACCCAGCTGCCTCGCCTTGTATTCAAATACAATGAAAAAAATAATGACAAATAAAACCGTTTTAGCATTTTTGTTGAAATACATTTTACACAGTGTTATGTTTTAAAACCATTTGCTTGTGGCGTGCAGTGCGATTTGCGCCATACAAGCCGCCGGACATTGCACTGAAGCCACTGCTCTTCGAGGTGCCGAGCGTGACCACCGATTCTGTGTTTGTGGGACGGGACTGGCTGTACTGCGAGCTCGAACGGCAGCTGGCCACCAGCGTGGATGGCACCAGGGGCACGGGCGCCAGCCCTGATAGGAACACCAGCTGCAGGGGGGCTGTCATCGTCGGGGGAGTCGGCACCGGCAAGACGGCCATTGTGTCTCGGATGGTGGCCCTTAGCTGCCATGGCACGCGTATGTGGCAGATTGCATCTGACAGCCCACGCCTACAGCACAAAAGTGAGTGATGATGCATCTCGGTGTCAATTCATTTTTTTCCCCCTCAATTTTTTTATTCCATTAATCGTTCTATTTTTCGGGTCAATGGTCAAATACTGTAATTTCTGTTACAGACAGTCAGTGTGAAATGGACCTGCTGATTTAATTTGTTGAACAAAAAGGCTTCCTTTTGCTCTCTTGGCACAGATCCTCACCTCGGTAAGGAGCTGCCGCTGGGCCAGCCTCCGCCTACCACAGATGGCATGCGCTTAGTTAGCCGTGGAAGCTGCCCAAACACGCCGGAGCTGCGCTGCAGGCCCGAAGAGGCTGTGAAAAGACTTGCAGCTCAGGTGCTGTGCCACACGTGCAAGCTAAACATGGGGTGTAGACACCGAACACATGGTGTACTGTTTCACTTCGAGAAATACAAAATATTTTTATTTTATAGTGTATGTATACTGGTGCAGCTAGAGCTTGCTTTAAAAAAGCATGTTTAAAAGCTATTGAGTCTTACCCCTATCTTGATTTTTAAAAAGGCCTTTTTGCTGTTTGTGGCATATTTTAGAATAGAATGCATTGCCAAGAAGGAGTCAGTGATGTGCAAGCAGACTGCAGGGAAGGGGGTAAATGGGGAAGCTTGTGTTCAGACTCACAGCTGTCCTGCGTCATATTTTATTTCCATTTCTGCATTTGGCCTTTTACCACAACTATTGTATAACATGAGGCACAACCGGTAGAATTAGCAGAAGAATGTAATTTCACATGCAATGGAAACCAAGCATAATATGATCATATGAACCTTATGGTGGGACCTCGGGGTCCCAAATAAACAGAAGTGTAAAAGCAAAAAAGTACTTAATTATTTTTGGCGGCTCCATCCCACTGCGCACATAAACGCCACGACCCACCTGGCGCGGATCGTTCTGTTGTCATGTCGTCCAAGCGCAGCCAGAACAAATGCGCAGAAGAAATAAAACTTTGAAACTTTGATTAGCGCATCGTGTAGAGCTCGTCGAGAGGAATAGATTGCCGTATCGTTCGCCGTTAACAGATATAAAATGACGTCGCAACGCAGTTTATGCGAGTTTATGCGAGAGCCGGGGGCATATGGGACGCAGGGGTCATATAATAATGCAATAATAATGTGAAAACCTTTCATTGCCCACTGCTGAATGAAGACCTTTCCATGCTGTGTCATTCATGGTCGTTGTTTGCCCATACTTGACCTCGCCGATTAGTCCTTAACTTCACCTTAAAAAAGAGAGTTAACTATTGGCATAAACTAATGTGTTAACATCAATTAATCACGAGAGGAATTGTGCCCTATTGATTTTTTTTGACACATTGCAGGTGGTGGCCTACCATTACTGCCAGGCCGACAACACATACACCTGCCTGGTGCCAGAGTTTGTGCACAGTGTGGCGGCGCTGTTGTGCCGAGCCCCGCAGCTGGTGTCATACCGGGAGCTGCTGCTGCGGGAGCCACACCTGCAGAGCCTGCTCAGCCTGCGCGCATGTGTACAGGACCCCTCAGCTGCCCTGCGTAGGGGGGTCCTTGAGCCGCTGACGGCACTGAGAAGAGGTGAGTGCTGCATAAGGACACTGCAGGGGAAGCGTGTGTTTGGATTCCTCTCTTGCCAAACGTCATTCTACTTAGTAGTATGTAATGTTGCTGCAATAGACATTAAACATACTTGTAATGAAGTATCTGTTGTGCAGAATATGTATGTATGTATGTTGAACATCTTTCACACTATATGTAGTCAACCTTGCTAATCTGAGGTCCGTGCATGTGGAAGCTTACAAGTCTATAGATCCTTATTTAGTAATAAAGTGCTAATTGCCATTTTGCATAATCTACTTCATGCAACTGAGATTATGCGCATATGCATAAAATACTGTGTAGTGGTGGTAAGGAAACCTTGAAATAAGTATCCACGCAATAACAGTTACCATTACTTGTGCATTGCCATTGCAGAGCGGAAGATCCTAGATGAAGATTTCTTGGTTCTAGTGGACGGACTCAATGAGGCTGAGTTCCACAAGCCTGACTACGGGGACACCATTGCCTCCTTCATCACTAAGCTCCTCTGCAAGTTCCCTCCATGGCTCAAGCTCGTGCTGACCGTTCGAAACAGCATGCAGGTGCTGGTTATGCCGAGGCTGTTTTATTTATGCATTCAGTAGCAATGAGGACATTTTACATGTATAATCAAGTTTTTTTGGCCACCTGGCTTATTTATTCATGGGATTAAAATAATACATATTTACAAACCTAAAGTTTGGTCTGACAACCAACAAATATTTAAGTGGTATTAAATATGTTTTTGTTTTCATTTGTGTATGCATCTGTTAATACAATGCCATGTATATCAATGTGATTTTCTTTCCTTTTCCAGGAGGTGACGAGCTTATTGCCATTCACCACCATCCAGCTAGACAGCGCCAGTGTGGCTGGCGGGGCCGTAGACATGGGACTTGTGGAACGAGACCTGCAGGCCTACGTCATGTATCGTGTCAACGGAAGCCACGAGATTCAGAGCAACATTGCGCTGAGTGGACGGCCCGATGGCGCGGCGCTGGCTAAGCTGGTCTCGCACCTGTCCTCTTTGGCACGCGGATCGTACCTCTTTCTTCGTCTTACTCTCGACCTCATAGAAGAAGGACACCTCGTGTTGAAGAGCTCCGGCTACAAGGTGATGCACTAACTCGTAATTTTCGCATTCAAGACTCAGGGGGTGCTTGTTGCCGACAAAACACATTCCTGCGGAGGGAGCTGGTAGAAACGTTGGGTTACTCGATCAATGGCCAGGGTCAACGGCGGCGTGGTGTATTCCGCAAATATGCCCGACTGTGAGAGCGGGCACAAGCCGGCTTGAGTAGGTTAAACGTTGAGTTTTATAAGGGCACCACGGGGTGACCAGCCCCACCCCTCCCAGCCCCACCCTCACCACCCAGCCCCTCCCCACCCTCCCCACCCAGCCCCTCCCCACCCAGATCCTCCCCACCCAGCCCCACCCCACCCAGCCCCACCCTCCCCACCCAGCCACTCCCCACCCTCCCCTCCCCACCCAGCCCCTCCCTCCCCACCCAGCCCCTCCCCACTACTTGAAAAATATACTGTACCATTGAAATTAGTTTAATGTTTAGTTCGATTTAGAACATCTTTCCAATGGTTGCTTAATTTGAAACCATCCTGTCGGTTGAAATTGTGTCTGTGTTTGTAGATCTGACTTGCTTCATGAACACATCTCTGATAAAAGCTCGTGGGTTTGCAAAGAACCTTGGTATCGGAGAAAATTATATCGTGATCCCCCACAGCGTTGTAACAGTGATCCATTCAGATCTAATAATAATTCTTGCCAGGACCTTTCCCAGGAACACTGAGGAGTGAAATGCCCCTGTAGTTGTTACAGTCTGTGCGGTCCCCTTTCTTAAAGAGGGGGACCACCAGGGCATCCTTCCTATCCTGCGGAACCCGTCCAGTGGTCCAGAATGTTGTTATGATGTCATGTAGGGCAGTCTGTGCACAAATGCCACCCTCCTTCAGCATTTCGATTGGGAGATCATCTCTGCCCGGTGCCTTTCCTAGTTTCAGACTCTGGATTGCCTTCAGTACTTCCTCAACAGACACACATGGACTTACACACACACATCGACTCCCACACACACATATTGACTCACGCACACACACACACATCGACTCTCATACACACACATCGACCCACACACACATCGACCCGCACACACACACATCGACTCACAAACACAGACACATTGACTTGCACACACACACATCGACTCACACAAATGTGGACTTACACACACACACATCGACTAACACACACCGACTCTCTCATACACACACATCGACCCACACACACACATCGACTCCCACACGCACAAATCGACTCACACACGCACACATCGACTCACACACACAGACACATCGACTTACACACACATCGACTCACACATCGACTCACACAAACACATCAACTTACACACACACATGGACGCAGACACGAACATCGACTCACATGCACACCTGGACTTAGACACGTTATTATTTTAAAATTTACTAACATAATTTTTAAATATTAGTTGTCTACACACACACTGACTCATGCACACACACACTGACTTGCGCACACACACACATATGGACTTATGCACACACACGCACACGGACGTACACACACACATCGTCGCAGACACGCACATGGACTCACACGCACACAAGGACTTAGACACAATAATGAATATATACATATTTACCAAGTAAATTTAGAAATATTAGTTGTCAGCACACAAACAAAAATATTGTAATATTTCCAAGGTGATTATTAAAATAATAGGTTTCTATGTACGTGAGTTTAGCGAAAGAGGCAAGAAATATAAATATTATTTGTCTGCACACAAACATTATTAATGTAATATTGGCAAGGTGATAATTTATATAATAGGTTTCTATCAATGTGAGTTTAGCGAAAGAAGCAAGAAAATAGTACTTAAAATTGCCGTGGTGAGGCCGAGTTCCGTGCAGAGCCCCCGGCCTCGCCTAGATTACCCAGGCAGCCGAGGTGGCACCTTGGCAGGCTGGGGCTGGGCTGCTACACCCCCCCCCCCCCCAGCCACGATCCCCCCGCCCGCTCTGTAGTAATATCTATGACCTAAAGTGATAGCATCTATCGACTGTATAGTAGTAACTACACGCATCGGGGTGGGGGGGGGGAGGACATCACACTGTGAAGAATTTACCTCAGCGTTTTGTGTATTTCTATTGCATTTTTAACGCGAAAGAAAATGTCCCCCTTACCCCCACGGAACGCGTGTGACTTGGTAGGGGCCGTCCCTCCCACCGAAGGCGTGAGTTGGTTTGGTCGAGCGCATGTGATAAATTGATAAATAAAGAAAAATCACACTAAATCGCTAATTTAACTACTTTAAAGTTGAGGGATTGGAAAAAGGAATAGCGCTTGCTCACCACCGGGCTTACGGCGTGGTACCTGGCCATTTTTAAAAAAACGTAAACCCCACTGTTTGAGATCCAAATCCTTCGCAAGTGTGCGAACACACAGACAGACAAAAATGGCATTTATATATAAGATTAGGAAGAAGCCGGCGTTGCCCAGTGGGCCGTTTGTCCATTTCTCCACGAGCAAAATTATGAGGCTTGCAGAAGTCCAAAAAGTTATAGAAAGTGGGGGGTAAATGGTTGATCTAAAAGGTTAATGAAAATTGTCGACTTCCCCCCTCAAAAATATACATTTACCCCCGTGTAGGTATATATACCTACACACCCTATATACAGCAGAGTAAGTAGTATCTATTGACTCTCTAGTTATATCTACTGACTGTACAGTAGAATCTACTGAGCCACTAGCAGCTACTGACTGTGGTGGTATCCTGCTATGATTACTGACTATATAGTAGTATTTACTTACTGTAGTAGTATTTACTGACCGTAGTGGTATATACTGACTTTTTTAGTATCTACTAACGCTATATAGCAGTATCTACAAACTCGATAGCAGTATCTACTATCACTACAACAGTGCATACCGACTGGTGGTATTCCTATGATTACAGCAGTGCATACTGTGGTGGAACCTGCTTTCACTACAGCAGTGCATACTGTGATGATACTTGCTATGATTACAGCAGTACATACTGACTGTGGTGGTACCTGCTATGATTACAGCAGTGCATACTGTGGTGGCACCTGCTTTCAATACAGCAGTGCATACTGACTGTGGTGGTTCCTGCTATGATTACAGCAGTGCATACTGACTGTGGTGGTTCCTGCTATGATTACAGCAGTGCATACTGACTGTGGTGGTATCCTGCTATGACTACAGCAATGCATACTGACTGTGGTGGTACCTGCTATGATTACAGCAGTGCATACTGACTGTGGTGGTACCTGCTCTGATTACAGCAGTGCATACTGACTGTGGTGGTACCTGCTATGATTACAGCAGTGCATACTGCTGTGGTGGTACCTGCTATGATTACAGCAGTGCATACTGACTGTGGTGGTACCTGCTATGATTACAGCAGTGCATACTGCTGTGGTGGTACCTGCTATGATTACAGCAGTGCATACTGACTGTGGTGGTACCTGCTCTGATTACAGCAGTGCATACTGACTGTGGTGGTGCCTGTTATGATTACAGCAGTGCATGCTGCTGTGGTGGTACCTGCTATGATTACAGCAGTGCATGCTGCTGTGGTGGTACCTGCTATGATTACAGCAGTGCATACTGACTGTGGTGGTACCTGCTCTGATTACAGCAGTGCATACTGACTGTGGTGGTACCTATGATTACAGCAGTGCATACTGCTGTGGTGGTACCTGCTATGATTACAGCAGTACATACTGACTGTGGTGGTACCTGCTCTGATTACAGCAGTGCATGCTGCTGTGGTGGTACCTGCTATGATTACAGCAGTGCATACTGACTGTGGTGGTACCTGCTCTGATTACAGCAGTGCATACTGACTGTGGTGGTACCTGCAATGATTACTGCATTGCATACTGTGGTGGTACCTGCTTTCGCTACAGCAGTGCATACTGACTGGTGGTACTTGCTATGATAACAGCAGTGCATACTGTGGTGGTACCTGCTATCACCACAGTATTACATGCTGACTCTATAGCAGTATATATCGACTGTATAGCGCAAACTACTAACCTGAGAGTGCCGTGGTGAGGCCTAGTCACATCATTAGCCACTGGCCTCGCCTAGATTGCCCAGCCGGCCAAGGTGGCACCTTGGCAGGCTGGGGGCTGGGCCGCTATCCCCCCCACCATCCCCCCCGCCCGCACTACAATAATACTATCTAACCGCTATAATATTAGTGTCTACCGACCCTATAGTAGTAAGTGCACGCATTGGGGTGGGGGGGGTAAAGAGGACATGACACTTCGATGAATTTACCTCAGCATTGTGTATTTTTTTTGCATTTTGAATGCGAATGAGAAATCCCCCCCCCTCCACCGATGACGCGAGATAATAGTTAAATAATGAAAACTTCACTACATTGGAAATTTAACTACTTTAAAGTTGACGGATGGGAAAACGGAATAGCGCTGGCTCACCACGGGGCTTACGGCGTGGAACCTGACTACTTTATTTAAACGTAAATCCCACAGGTCGCGAGCCAAATTCTTCGCAAGTTTCGTCCAAACACACACAGATAGACGGACAGACAAAACATGCCTTTTATAGGTAAGATGGGGTTGTTTGGTCATAGTAGCATATAGTGAATGTGCATTGGCATCAAATACCGCATCACTAAGCGGGTAGGATACTCACCTGCATTCTTCATTATGATGTGTGGATTTTCTTGCCACGCCTAATGATCTTCAACATGAAAAATACTCAAAGCACTCAACGTAATCTGATATTTGCGTAATATAATGCCAATATAATATGTATTGTGAGGTTTTTTTAATACTATTTATGATTTAAAGAATATTATGGTGAAATAATTACCATAAAGGCACACTAATTTGAAAGTTGGAGACATTTTGAATGAACTGTGTAAGTCTTCTGTATTCATTCCTCCCACCTTCGGTGTTGCTGTCTATAATGTCCTATGAGCTTCTTCCGCCATTTCACCACAATTAAATATTAATTAGTTACATGTAAAATGCCATTTTAGCCAGTTACCCAACTATTTTTGGTGGCAGTGGCCTACAGCCACTGAAAACAGAGTTACTGTTGGGGTGGAGAGGAGCCCAGCCAGCAGCCAGTCAGGAAATTTGAGGCATAGATTATTACTTTTAATCATACCATACTAAATTGTATATAATTGGTTTACATGATTCCCTCCAGCCACTAGAGGCACTTCAGTTACCACAATATACAAAAGACACCCGATTCTTGAATTGAACCATGGTGGCAGCGACTCATTACATACATAACATGCACAGCTTGTGAATTTTCTAGCCAGGTTAGAGCCTGTAGGCGCAGCTTTCTTGTACCAAAAAATAAGCTACGCTTTAACTTGTGGGAGCAATAAGTCTGATGCGTGTTTGAGGTGTCTTAAATCAAACTGCTTCTTTATTTCTTAGTTGCACAAAAACGAGCTATTTCTCAAGTTATATCTTCGCCTGTTCACATACTGTATCACTTCGTCGCGCGTACTGTATCACTTCCTCGCACGGTCAAAAGACTATTCACTCGCTTACCACCCGGCTCTTCTCATAGCCCCCCGTTTATACTGTAAAAACCGGAAGTGACGTCATGGGTTCAACCAACGGAGCGTCTAACCACAGAGGGGTTTCTACACAGTTGGAATATTCCAAATCAAATATAACCGGTCCGTCAACAAATATATGGCGGATGTACATCAAATCTATATACAGAAATAATACTCACTTTCTGTCTCATGGCTCTTATAGAGCCCATTGAGACAAACGTCTCTTTTTACAATGGAGACTTGCAAAGTCTAAGTGCTCCTGTGTGCACTCTTCATACATAATGATGGAATGGTGGCACAATGGTTCACACATTCCAACCGAACAATGTTATATCCAACTTGCCTGTTATGAGCAGTATTCAGAATATGTATTCTGTCGTGTTTACACAGCAAAGCTATGCATTTGTACAGTACATGTGTAATGACATGACACCTGCTGGCTAGACAAGGGAAGCACGGGTACAGGCACCGCTAAAACAACATCCAATCTGAAAGGGAGAGGTATCTGGGGCAAAGGTAATGGGCGGGGTTGGCCGAGATGCTCCGGGAACCTGCTCGAAGGTTCCACGGTAGGGCGTGGCCAGAGGCGGAGCCTATCAGTGCCTGGGGAGATATAAGCGGGGGCGGACAAGGGCTCGGGGTTCATGTGTGGAGTCTTGGGTCCGGACTGCGTCGCTACTCACCGTCATCTCTCTCTGTCGTCCGGCCACGTGGAAGATCTCCTGCAGGCTTACAATCACCCTCCTCGGCAAGCCGCCAGCCAGCGGCGTAGCCGAGTGTGGACGGTGGAACCCGCCGAGTGATCGGCCGTGTGTGTGTAACCAGTAGAGACGCTAACATCCAAGTGTTGTTCTCAAAGTGATAAGATAAGGTTGGCCTGTGTTGTGCCCGTATAAGAGTAAAAAAGTACCCTCTACATGACGTGTCGCGGAAGTCGCTCATTACACATGTGTAGTGAATTAGCGCTGACTGGTGTACAGCAGCTTTAACTGCAGGTGGGCACTTAGCGCACAGCCGCTGAGCATATACACGGGTGTGCCAGCAGGGCGGAGGAACTGGGGCAAGATTCACGGTAGACCTTGTGGGTAAGCCCCTGGAACCCTCTGGTGGGTTCGAGAAGTGAGGCATAGCTAGGGCGGAGCCAAGCCGCGCCGAGGGGAATATAAGCAGCAGAGAGCGAGGGCTGCCGGTTCTGGGATTGGACTCGTCTCGTCGTCGCTGCCGCCTTCGCCCAGACAGTAGGCTGTCCCGGTCGATGCCGTCAGTGCAACGTGGATAGGGTCGTGTCTGGGACGAGTCGTGCTGCAGCGTGGTCGTGAGAGAGAGGGGGCCCGAGTGGTGGCGTGAACTCAACAACAATAAAAGGAGAGGATGGTGTCTCCTGCGACCACCTCGTCTCCGACTGAGTGTGTCTGTGCGACGCACGCCACCCGCACGCACACACAATCCTCGAGCTAGAGAACGAAGAAGAGACGCACGACACTACACATGTATCTCCCCTATCCCTCTGCTAATTTTTTGACAGGTGCTCCCTGTCTCACTGTCGGAGGTGTACCTGCTTCAGTGCAATCTGCGCTTCCCTTCGGGGGCAGCGTTTACCCGGGCACAGCCACTGCTCTGCGTGGCACTGGCATCTTTGCATCCGCTCACTGACGAGCATCTGCTGCGTGCGCTCGCGGCTGGATGGGTGACGGGGCCTCGCTCGGATGCCGTAGCTGCGTTCACGTTTGCCCTGGAGAGCGTGTCTCCCTTCCTGGTGCGGCGGCGGGATGGCACGCGCATGTTCTGCCACCCCTCGTTCCGCGAGTGGCTCATGTGGCGGCCCGAGGGCGAGAGCACCAAGTTCCTCTGTGATCCCAGGTGAGACCTCTTTACCTATTGATCTATGACTGAGTGCCTACATCTCTTCATTGTATCAAACTAATAGAGTAAAATATATAAAGTAAAGGTGCATCCCTGCAATTGCTTGCTCACAACACTGCTGGCAGAAGGGCCTACATTACAGGGAGCTGTAGAGAGCCCCGCTCAAGGGTAATTTGGCCGACTTTTGCCACACATCCCAGACATCTTGGTAAATGTGAGAGTACTATAATATACCATACCTGTGAACCCCTTATCAGTGCCTACCTTATTACAGACCAATTCAGACCTTATTGGTCACCCCGTGCTCTTATAATTCTCAACGTTCATCCTACAAAGTCCAATCACAAGGGAAGACAAAAAAAATGTTTGCCCGCATTGAATACAGTTAAACCGTATGGCTTGATGGGTATGATTATACCCCCACTACAGAAACTTTCAGTCAGACCAAATTTTATGGTACACATCATGGCAATATCTTACCTATAAAAGACATTTTTTAGTCTGTCTGTGTGTCTGTCTGTCTGCGTGGGTACCTTGAGACGTTTTTAACTGACCAACTGTGGGGTTAACGTATTAAAAATATATATATATACATTGGAGAGTAATGGTTAAGTATGTATTTTTTTTATCTTACTCTGCCTTTTAACATGACAAATAAGATTAAATTAAATATAAAGTATTTTTTACTAAAATGTTTTATTTCAATATTTTTTTATCCTGCTTTTGATATTATTTTTTAAAAATGTAGCTTACTGTACATCCGTGAAAAATATTGTGATGCTGAAAAATAATGACGCAACAGGTTGTTCAAATTGAATAAGCCTATACATATATATCTGTGCTTAATTTTGATGTGTTTTATATTTGCAACATATTTTGTATATATACAGTCAATAGTGCTGTCAGCTATTGCATTTCTTCGTTATCCATCGAAATAAAAAGCAGAGAGCTTTTGATAACCGACCCGCAGATGGGCTATGTGAGCACTTGTGTCTCCCATCTGTGTCCCAAACTACCAGCCCTCGTGCCAATAGGGGGCCCTCTAGTTCACAGCAAGTCGCATGACGCAGCATATGCAAAAGTCCAAATATACAGCGATGTTTTTGTGAATATGTATCGTTCTCTTCTTTAATAAAAAATAAAGCAAATTGCCACCTAGTTTAGCAAGATGTGAATCTGTCATTGTTAACTGAATTTATAAGTACACGAATACAAATCCATAGATATCTGTTTTGTCACCATTCTTGCTGGCTGTTAGAGTTGCAACGGTTTAATAAACGTAATTAACCTGACACATTTTTTGTTCTGTGTACACGTTGTGCCATTATCAGCCAGTTTGTTTGGAACTATCAATGATATCAAAGGCAGCAACCAGTATATAATGGGGGTTGTAAGCTGTGAGTTTGTGTTCAAGTGGTCATTAACAGGTGGCACATAGAGTGATACCAAAATTGATAACTACTGAGGTTGACCCAGAGTTTGATGGCTCTTTTATTTCTGAGCCGACAAGGTTATACAATACAATATATCGAAATAATGCTCATTTCCGCAATAGATCAACATGTATGCAAAGCGTGAGTACTGTGAGTCTTGTGAAAATAATTGTGGCAATTTAGGCAAGTTGGAGGGAACAGACCCCAGGTTATAGTGTTGAAATTAATTTTTTGGGTATGCATGCTTCATCTGTGCAATGTCTTTTTAACCCTGACAGACAATATAATTATCACCATAAGCCTATTTGTATCATTCAGAACACCTTGTCAACTGGGGGAAAATTTTTAATCAAATGGTGCAGTATTACACTAAACATGCTCTTACAATAGTTTTTTTTTTATAAACTTTGTTTTACATCATTATTATCATCAGTCATGTTCTATCCACTGCTGAAGGGTTTCCAACGTCACCACTTCCCACGGATTAGCAAATTCCACAGTCCATCTCACTTGTACACACAAACTCATCTCATCACTGCATCTTAGTGATTTCGAGCAGGATCCCTTCTTTGGCACCTGTTCCATCACCACTCTTGCCCATCATCCCTTCTTGTGATTTGTTAGCTTTGGCACTCACGTTTGTCTTTTTCATCGCGTTATTTTTTCCCCCATCTTCAGCAACTATAATGACACGAACAAAAGGGCATCAAAGGCTGTATCTCCTGTGAAAATTTGCCGAGACTAGCTAGAGACAGAGAATTGCAAGATGAGGCTCTTGATTTGGTGCGGAAGAGAGGCCCAGTGCCATTACGTTCCATATTGCTTAAGTGAACAAGACCGCGATGAATCTCCGGTCTTGGAAACTTCTGACAGGAGACAGCTGTATAAGTCGTGGGTTATACCGAGATAGGTGAAGCATTTTGAGTGGGAGTTGCCCCTGGAGTGTGAAGCCTAGCAAAGGCCAGGTCTTCAATGGCCTTTTTGTTGGTGCCATAATCAACATTGAAGGATATTTTTTAAACTGCATTGAAATCGACCCCTCTACGTGAAATGGTTAAATTATTTTTTACAACGATTTGTAAATCCACTGCTGGACGAAGGCTTTTCCACATTTTTGTCATGGAAGTGTGGAGCTGGGAATAAGGAGAGCAAGGGTGAAAGTTAAGATGGAGAGAGTTGGGGTGGAAGTAGGTGGCATACAGTAGAGAGAGGAAGAAAGAGGAAGGGATAGGTAGAAGAGGGGACAGAGAAATAGAGAAATAAATAACATCGGAGATAAAGCAAGACATTGAGATAAATTGGTATATACAGTAAAGAGAAAGTACGAGAAAGATGGAGAGAGACTGGGCTCTATATAAGGATGTATCTGTTGTTAGTTAAAGAAAAAAAATACTTCACCCGTCTGTTGTCAATGTCTGATAAATGCACAACCCCTACTATTGCACGAGTTAACTAAATTATGTTATATAATTAAAGTTACAGGCAGAATAACCACTTAAGAAATTCCAATGAATATACTTATTTTACATGTCTCATACAGTAATAAATTTGGTGTCAGCATTTCACAGTGTGTACTGTACTAAGTCAAACCACATTTAAATAGCATCAGGGTTAATAATGTGTGCTTGTATCGGACTCCCATCAGTTCAGTGATAGTAATCGCATCAAGATTCAATTCTCAAGAGGGTGCTGTACAAGATGGAATTTTTTCTTGAAATGTTTATGAATTTGGTAGGAAACTGAAGCAGCCAAATAAAAGCCTCGCATACAAGGAGACAGGTCAAACATACACAAAGACAAATTTTGATTTAAAGCTTTCGTGACTGCAGTAATTCATATTCTTAGCTCTTTCGGTAAAGTCACGTTGAAGGGAAACTATAAAATAATAAAATATATATGAAACAATCAAATTCTCACGACGTTTCGACCATAACACAAACGGTCATCATGATGACCGTTTGTGTCATCTGATGATGACCGTTTGTGCTATGGTCGAAACGTCGTGAGAATTTTATTGTTTTATATATATTTTATTATTTTATTGTTTCCCTTCAACGTGACTTTACCGAAAGAGCTAAGAATATATACACAAGGACAGATCGATAAGTGTGCTGTACTGCAGTCTATATTCCACTTTTTAGCTGTCCAGGTGTGTATCTCAGGTGCGTGTTGATCCCTGTGTGAATTATCAATTTTTGCGTGTGAACTGTGAGATTGCAAGTAAGTCAAGTTGTACCTAGCATAAGTGTGTGTTATACCCTTTGAATGTTTGCCCTTCACATGGGTGGTATGGCTGTTGTGGGTTTCGAGACTAGGTTTATCTGCCTTCACCATCTGTTACAGCATCATTGTTGATGTGATTGTGTGCGCAGGAGTGGTCATGCACTGCTGGCCATGAGCTTCTCGCGTCAGGAGGGAAAGCTTAACCGACAGCACACGATGGAGCTGGGCCACCACGTCCTCAAGGCTCACATCTATAAGGCAGGTCTCATCTGCCATGCAAAGGCGCACAGTGCTTTGTGTGCGAAACTCTACAAGAAGAAATGGATCTCCAAGAAGAAACGGATTCATTCATTTAGATTCCAAGACGAGTTCAACAAATGTTTGCCTTTTTAATACCGCTAGCTTTCTTGTACATTTTAATTAATCTTAGTGTAATTAGACCTCCTTTGCCAGTACCAAAATATAATAATAGGGTTTTTCCCCTTTTTTTCTGGCAACAAAACTGAAACCTTTTTACAAGGAGTCATGTGTGCATTAACCACAATAGTTGTGGTCAATGCAACAAAAAACACACTCTGATAATATATACACACTCTGATAATATATGAATTGTCCTTGAAACTGATTAGTCCACACCAGAGGATGGCTTTCGTTTGAGCTTCATCTCAATTGGTGCTAAACCAGAAGACGCCAAAAGGCGTACAGCTCAAAGACAATGCACTATCAAAGTAATGAGGGCTCGGGATAAGAATCTACATCATTAGACCTCCTTTGACAGTACCAAAATATAATAGTAGGGTTTTTCCCCATTTTTTTCTGGCAACAAAACTGAAACCTTTTTACAAGGAATCATGTGTGCATTAACCACAATATTTGCGGTCAAAATTCAAACAAAAAACACACTGATAATATATTCATTGTCCTTGAAACTAATTGGTCCACACTAGAGATGGCTTTCTTTTGAGCCTCATCTTAATTGGTGCTAGACCAGAAGATGCCAAAAGGGGAAAAACCCTATTATTATATTTTGGTATTGGCAAAGGAGGTCTAATGATGTAGATGCTTACCCCGAGCCCTCATTACTTTGATAGTGCATTGTCTTTGAGCTGTACGCCTTTTGGCGTCTTCTGGTCTAGCACCAATTGAGATGAGGCTCAAAAGAAAGCCATCTCTGGTGTGGACAAATCAGTTTCAAGGACAATGCTTATATTATCAGTGTTTTTTGTTTGCATTTTGACCACAAATATTGTGGTTAATGCACACATGATTCCTTGTAAAAAGGTTGTAAGTTTTGTTGCCAGAAAAAATGGGAAAACCCTTTTATTATAATCTTAGCGTGTACCACATTTTAAAAAGCCCAGTGAATTGACTTCATTTTGATTATTTAATTTCACTCATGCACTTGCCAGAGTTCATGCAAACAACCCTTAGCAAGATCAAACGTGGATGTTAGCCAGATAATCATTACGTTTTAAAGGAACACACTTCAAAAGTTTAACATTTTTAGAGGCAGACTTCACCGACCTGTTTTTTTATATGGATATTTAAATATTCGATGTGCAATGATATTTGACTTGCAGTCAGTATTAATATGGTACATCATAAAAAAAAACTATTTGGCAAATAAATGTCATAATTGAAGGAGAACTATGTTGTATAATATTTTATTTAAGCGCATGGATGCCCTTTTGAAGAGTGATGTCCAAATGCACTCCATTGGCTCTTGCCCGCTTCTTTAATTGGTTATCTTCTGCTCCCTTTTGCAGCAATATTTCCTGTAGCACATTTGCATATAACCTATGAATGTCATTTTTGTGTCTGTCCGTCTGTCCGACTGTCCATCTGTCTGTGTGTGGGCGCAACTTGCGAAGGATTTGGCTCGCAAACCGTGGAGTTTACATTTTTAAAAAGTAGCCAGGTACCACGCTGTAAGCCCCGTGGTGAGCCAGCGCTATTCCATTTTCCCATCCGTCAACTTAAAAGTAGCTTAATAAACAATGTAGATAATTTCGCATTATATAATTATTTCTTCCGCAGCGCTAAAGCTGCCCGGGCGTTGCCCCTAGCAACGCACACGTGTCATCGGTGGAGGGGGGATTTCTCATTCACGTTCAAAATGCAAAACGCTGAGGTAAAATCAGCAAAGTTTTATGTCCTCTTCCCCCCCCCACCCCAATATGTGCACTTACTACTATAGGGTCGATAAACACTAATATTATAGCGCTAAGATAGTATTATTGTAGCGCGGGCGGGGGGATGGTGGGGGGGGGGGGTAGCGGCCCAGCCCCCAGCCTGCTAAGGTGCCACCTCGGCTGGCTGGGCAATCTCGGCGAGGCCAGGAGCTCTGCGCGGGAATAGGCCTCACCACAACACTCTGTCAGGTTAGTAGTTTGTGCTATAGAGTCGATATATACTACTATAGAGTCAGCATGTACTGCTGTAGTGATAGCAGGTACCACCTTAAGTCAGTTTGCACTGCTGTAATAGCAGGTATCCACCACAGTCGGTATGCACAGCCGCAGTGATAGCAGGTACCACCACAGTCAGTATGCACTGCTTTAATCACAGCAGGCACCACCACAGTCAGTATGCACTGCTTTAATCACAGCAGGCACCACCACAGTCAGTATGCACTGCTTTAATCACAGCAGGCACCACCACAGTCAGTATGCACTGCTTTAATCACAGCAGGCACCACCACAGTCAGTATGAACTACTGTAATCACAGCAGGTACCACCACAATCAGTATGCACTGCTGCAGTGATAGCAGGATCCACCACAGTCGGTATCCACAGCTGCAGTGATAGGTACCACCACAGTCGGTCTGCACTGCTGTAGTGATAGCAGGTACCACCACAGTTGGTATGCACTGCTGTCGTGATAGTAGGTACCACCACAGTCGGTATACACTGATGTAGTGATCGCAGGTACCACCACAATCGGTATGCATAGCTGCAGCGATAGCAGGTACTACCAAAGTCAGTGTGCACTGCTATAATCATAGCATGTACCACCACAGTCAGTATGCACTGCTTTAATCATAGCAGGCACTACCGCAGTCAGTATGAACTACTGTAAATCATAGCAGGTACCACCATAGTCAGTATGCACTGCTGTAATCATAGCAGGTACCATCACAGTCAGAATGCTCTGCTGTAATCATAGCAGGTATCACCACAGTCAGCATGCACTGCTATAATCATAGCAGGTTACACCACAGCAGTATGCACTGTTGTAATTATTGCAGTTTCCACCACAGTCAGTGTGCACTGCTGTTGTCATAGCAGGTACCACCACAATCGGTATGCACTGCTGTAGTGATCGTAAATACTGCTATCGAGTTGGTAGATACTGCGATACAGAGTTAGTAGATACTAAAACAGTATATACTACTACGGTCATTAAATACTGCTGCAGTCAGTAAATACTACTATCCAGTCAGTAGCTGCTACTGGCTCAGGAGATACTACTGTACAGTCAGTAGATAAAACTACAAAGTCAATAGATACTACTTACTCTGTTGTATATAAGGTGTGTAGGTATATATACCTACACAGGGATAAATATTTTTTTTGAGGTGGGGGGGTCGACAATTTTCAGTAACCTTTTAGATCAACCATTTACCCCTCACTTTATCTTTTAGGGCTTCTACAAGCCTCTTGTAATTTTGTTCATGGAGAAATAGACAAACGACCCACTGGGCTTTCACAATAGCTTAGTATCTGTATATGTATATGCAAGGTTTTTCAGATAAGTTTTGAAATATATTTTTGGCCCGGGCAATGCCGCGTACTTCCCGATAGTTGGTTATATAATTAATATTATCAGTGATTTATTAATTCTAATAATTTCAAAACCATTTTTTCTTTATCCCAATACAACTTTCACAACATATCTTAAAGTATAGCTGTGGATAAAATTAGCAAGAGAATATCTCCTTTTCAAACCCTTCTGGTTTACAGTGAGGGAAAAAAGTATTTGATCCCCTGCTGATTTTGTATGTTTGCCCACTGACAAAGAAATTATCAGTCTATAATTTTAATGATAGGTTTATTTGAACAGTGAGAGACAATAACAAAGCAATCCCGAAAAACGCATGTCAAAAATGTTATAAATTGATTTGCATTTTAATGAGGGAAATAAGTATTTGACCCCTCTGCAAAACATGACTTAGTACTTGGTGGCAAAACTCTTGTTGGCAATCACAGAGGTCAGACGTTTCTTGTAGTTGGCCACCAGGTTTGCACACATCTCAGGAGGGATTTTATCCCACTCCTCTTTGCAGATCTTCTCCAAGTCATTAAGGTTCCGAGGCTGACGTTTGGCAACTCGAACCTTCAGCTCCCTCCACAGATTTTCTATGGGATTAAGGTCTGGAGACTGGCTAGGCCACTCCTGGACCTTAATGTGCTTCTTCTTGAGCCACTCATTTCATTTTGGTCTCATCTGACCACAACACTTTCACCCAGTTGTCCTCTGAACCATTCATATATTCATTGGCAAACTTCAGACAGGCATGTATATGTGCTTTCTTGAGCAGGGGGTCCTTGCGGGTGCTGCAGGATTTCAGTCCTTCACGGCGTAGTGTGTTACCAATTGTTTTCTTGGTGACTATGGTCCCAGCTGCCTTGAGATCATTGACAAGGTCCTCCCGTGTAGTCCTGGGCTGATTCCTCACCGTTCTCATGATCATTGCAACTCCACGAGGTGAGATCTTGCATGGAGCCCCAGGTCGAGGGAGATTGACAGTTCTTTTGTGTTTCTTCCATTTGCGAATAATCGCACCAACTGTTGTCACCTTCTCACCAAGCTGCTTGGCAATGGTCTTGTAGCCCATTCCAGCCTTGTGTAGGTCTACAATCTTGTCCCTGACATCCTTGGAGAGCTCTTTGGTCTTGGCCATGGTGGAGAGTTTGGAATCTGATTGATTGATTACTTATGTGGACAGGTGTCTTTTATACAGGTAACAAGCTGAGATTAGGAGCACTCCCTTTAAAAGTGTGCTCCTAATCTCAGCTCGTTACCTGTATAAAATACACCTGGGAGCCAGAAATCTTTCTAATTGAGAGGGGGTCAAATACTTATTTCCCTCATTAAAATGCAAATCAATTTATAACATTTTTGACATGCGTTTTTCTGGATTTTGTTGTTATTCTGTCTCTCACTGTTCAAATAAACCTACCATTAAAATTATAGACTCATCATTTCTTTGTCAGTGGGCAAACGCACAAAATCAGTAGGGGATCAAATACTTTTTTCCCTCACTGTATGTTCTTTCGTTATACAGTCTCTCTGTCAGTGTTCCGTCATCATACATGTTTTCAGAATTTTTGTATTCATGTTTTTCAGGCCTTGGTTTGTGAGAGCTTGGATGACTGCAACAATGCAATTGTTTTGATTTAAATCTTTCGTGACTGCAGGGATTCATATTCTTGGTTCTTTTGGTAAAGTCACATCGAAGGGAAACAATAAAATTACAAAAATATAAAACAATAAAATTCTCACGACGTTTCGACTGCAACACAAGCAATCATCATCTTGCTGTGGTTTTCACACCTGATGATGATTGCTTGTGTTGCAGTCGAAACGTCGTGAGAATTTTATTGTTTTATATTTGTATTATTTTATTGTTTCCCTTCTATGTGACTTTACCGAAAGAACCAAGAATATAATGCAGTTGTTGTTATGGTGCTTGATATTAACGTCTTTTCGAGAACCTATGTGGTTAATATAATTTTTTTGTAGATTTAACTTGCGATATTGAGATGGTGTAAGTACAACATAATATAAGTTGCACGAATTAGTACTAATTTTTATGACCTGTCATCATATTTTAATGTACAGGGTGGCACACAAAGTCAAGACACGTCGGGTTATTTCATTTATTTTAACACTGTAATTAAACGTTTTAATTGTATATTCTTTAAGGTAATATTTTATGTATTATCATTATTAATATCTCTTTTAATATCTATTGTGGGGTCACCTCAAATCTGTCATTTACAAAACTCGAGCAAGAACCCTGCATGAATTGAAACAAAACATAATTGACGAATGTTCAAAGATTACACCTTTAATATTTTAATAAGTCCGACATCAATTTCAAAAGACTTTTCATGCATTCATTAATGTTTAATTTTTTTTTAAATACATGAAATAGCACGTGATTTGTTCAAATAGATATTGTAACCCTATGCATCCTAACTTTTGGACCACCCTGTCTATACAGTAGTTATATTTATTGTTTAATATGAATAGATTTTATCATTTTATGATGAAAAACAACGTACATTTCTCAAGACATTTTGTTATAACTTCACACATTTAAACGTGTTAATTGCTAAATATTCATAAAAAAATAATCACGCGAATATTTTTGCTAACAAGATCTGCTAGAGAATAAATGTAGCAAGATTGCTGTGGACAAAGAATGTGCCTGTATTGCAGAAGTAAAACAAATGCAAAAATGTAGTTTATAAAAATAGTACTATTACAATCACAGTTAAATATATTGTAATCTATAATTCCCGTTGTGCAGTTGAATAAACCATGATTTTGCACAGACACTTATTTATTCCGTCAACTCTGTACAAAGCATTGTACAATTAAACTGAGTGTACAATTCCCATTTTAAGCTTGATTTGAAGCTTTCGTGACTGCAGGAATTACTCCTTGCTTCTTTCGGTAAAGTCACGTAGAAAGAAAATAAATTAAATAGAATACGACGTTTCGATTATAACACAAGCAGTCGTCATCAGGTAAAACTAAATTTGAGAGAGAGACAAAACACAGACACGGAGACACACAGACAGACACACAAGCAGAGAGAGACAACACAGAGACACAGAGAGAGACACACAACATAGACACACAGAGAGACACACAACATAGACACAAAGAGGTGTGTCTATGTTGTGTGTCACTCTGTGTCTCTGTGTTGTCTCTGTTTCTGTGTCTGTCTGTGTGTATCCTTGTCTGTGTTTTGTCTTTCTCTCAAACTTAGTTCTACCTGATGACGACTGCTTGTGTTGCAATCGAAACGTCGTATTCTATTATTTCATTTATTTTATTTCTACGTGACTTTACCGAAAGAATCAAAGAGTAACTCCCATTTTGCATTAAACCAAGTGTTGTAGGGGCACTTCTTTATTTCGTGAAGCTGATTGGAGAAGAATGCAGCAAGATGATCACTGAAGTGTGCGACAGGCAAGAGCGTCACGGGCGATAGCTCGAGTGGCAGCCTACTAAATATCGGCTCATCAGTTGTCATGAGGGTTGCCATTGCACTTAGCAGGGCAGAGGCTTGAGAATAAAAGAACAGGGAGCATGGATCTTGTGTTTTCTTTGATGGGGGTGGGTGGGCCGTGGAAATAAATAAATATTTATTCTATTAAAAGCCACGGCTGGCTTGCTCAGTTCAGTGCTGCAGAAGTCACTCTTTTGGGAGTCAGAGACAAAAAAATTGTGATAAATTGTCTTTGTGTCTTGGTTGTTTCTCTTTCACTGGGCTGTGACTGGCCACAACCGTACGGTATCCATGGCTTAGCTCATTGTAGGACTTTCTTTTTGGGTTCAATGGCAGGAAAGGTTGTGAAAATGTTCCGTTAATGTCACAAGAAGCATGGGTCTGTTGAAAAGACAGACATGCTTGCAGCTCGCGCGGCAATGCCTCTTAGAGCGGTTATAACTGATATCGCGGCTTAATTAGTGGTCACAACCAAATAGTATGTTAAATTTATCTTGCATATTTAACATAAAATAACGTGTTGCCTACTCTGACCTTTTTCTTCTCGAAATTAAGTTGTTTAAATAAAAATGAGCAATACTTGTAGATGAAGTGATGTGTGGAAAGTAATAAAAGTTCACTTAAATATTGTAAAGAATCTGTAGAAATGATACACATGCATTTGGCTTGCTATACTAAAACTCTGATACATTGTAAATGTTATTTGCACCCCATGCTGTATCTGTTGCAGGGTTTGAGCAAGAAACTCGGCATCTCATCTAGCATCCTGCAGGCTCTCTGGGTGGGGTACAGCACAGACAGCTTGTCTGCTGCGCTGGCCTCACTCCGCAACCTCTACACGCCCAACATCAAGGTAAAGATTCAGCCCAAATGGGCTTTGCACCTGAGAATATTAAAAGGTTTCAAACTTGCCCGCTCTATATACTTTCGGTTTTAATTTTGCATTTGATGGCCCGAGGCACATGTTGACTGATGCAGTATTAACTAATATTTTGTCAACTATTTTAATAACACCCTTTGTCTTATTTACTAAGAAAGGCATTGCAAATTGACAAGACTGTTTTCCAGAAAATCTTCTCTTGAATGTTTGTTTTTCTTAAGTATTTCAACATGTGGGAAGAAACTAGACTAGTCATTGCTGTGCTGTTTTTATAACATTGTTTACTTCATTTAGACATTGAAATCATATCTCTAACATATACATTGACATAATAGGATCATAACTGCTATAATTGATGGATAGTTCACACAATATTTAAGTACATTTATGATTAATTTGGGGAGTTGTGTTCACTGTAAGTACATTTTTGCCAATGATATTTGTCACTGCAAAAATATGCCCAAGGGATGTATTCACATTTTCATTATTTCCAAATAGTATGCCATAAGCTTATATTGTTATAAGCTGCTGCTGGTGTGAAGGTTTACACGGTCAGTCTATTTTTGTTTACTGAACCCTGCCTACCCAAATGTTTAAGCCATATCTGGTTGTTTTTTTTTCTGGTTCTTTTTCTCTCTGTCTGAATCTCCATTTCACTCGCTACCTACCTGTCTGACTGTGTCTCGGATTTTCTCCGCACCTCTTGTCAACTCGAGTATTTCTCTCTCGTGCTTCCTCCTTCTGCTTCCATTTCTTCGCCCGTCTCTTTGACACGCTTTTCTGACCTGCAGGTGTCTCGGCTACTAATTCTGGCGGGGGCAAACGTGGATTTCCGCACAGAGGCACTGAGCAATGCGCCGGTGCTGTGCGTGGAGTCCCACTTGGGCTACAGCGAGATGGTCTCCTTGCTGCTGGACTCGGGCGCTGACATGGATACAGCCAGCGAGAGTGGAATGACACCGCTGTGCTACGCCGCAGCTGCCGGGCAGCTGGAAATTGTCGCTCGTCTCTGTCGTCGCAGTGCCAAGGTAGGTCTATTTTACAGCTTCCCTGGCTTGTGCATTTGTTTGTTACACTTTAGTAGCATTCATAGTGGTCCGTCTGGATTTAAATCATGCTCTAATCGAGCGGTTCTTAATTTTTTTCCAATGGTGTCCCTCAAATCAGAGACTGCTGATCCCTATACCCCAGCCCTAACAAAATAATAACCAAATATTTCACAGGCTACTGTATGGAGAGAGCACATCTCCACACCCCTCGTCAGTGCGGTGTTAGTAAGGCATGTTTCATATTGTGTTTTGTCGCGGCAAAGTGGTGTTGACATTCAGAATTTCTCCTGCACGGTCTCTATGCCGCAGCCTGCATCCCCCCATGAAAGGCGACCCACGAGTTAAGAACTACTGCTCAAATCATTACCAAAGTAGTGAGTTTTGCCTCATTGGTAATGAAAAGGCGTGATTATTTTGTTTCAACAACCTCACGGTCAATTCTACAGCCCTGGCTTGTGCACTCGTTCGTGAAATTTTGCTGGTGTTAAGAGGTCGTCTGCAGTCCGGAATGCTACCATTGTGTAATGATTAGCACACTGGACTTTGAATTCAGAAGTCGCCGATGCGATCTCCCAGCGCAGAAATTGAAACAATAAGCAAGTTTGTTAATATGCCCCACATCTGTCTGCCCATGAGTATGAATGGTTATACCACAGTCTATTTGGCAAAGGGCAATGTGTGATGGGTTCTCTCGTTCTAGCCAGGCCAGTGTGGAAGAGTAGGCCAATTGCCCTCTTGAGACACTCTATAGAGCTCCCTCTCGTGGGAGCAGTGACATAAGTAAGTAATTGCAGTGCTGCACTGTCATAAAGAAGTGAGTTTAGCTCTCTTACTAGTTGTAACGCCAATCTCTTATCTTAAATGTTCGACAGGCATTTACCAATATTTTAGGATACCTTTACATATGTTGTGGATTTTATTTAAAGTTCACTTAGGATTACGCATGATACATAGACATTCACGACCAATATTATCCATAAGTGTTTTTTTGGGGTTAAATCGCGTAAATATAAATGTGTCTTTAAATCCACCACCACCCGACAACTCTGCCTGTCGCCTGATGAGGCTGGTTGTAATTACCGCCGAAACATCGTACTCAGATTGTAAATGTTGTAGGTTTACTCTCCAACACACCGGTGTGCTGAACTAGTAACTAATTGGCATGTTTTGTTTACGTGACAAACCTTACTAATTGACTGTGTGGGCAGTGGCAGGTTTAATGGGACATTTTATATTCATGCAATCTAAGCTAAAAAACCTCCATTTCGGATTATGTATGACATTTTGGTTTTTGAATTATATTTGTAAAGTGTTTCGTTTTTCAGCAGATAGTTAAGAAACACATATTGTTCATGTCATTAATAGTGATTTGTCAATTTTAAACAAAGCCAAATAAACATCAGTCTAAATATTAAACGTTCACCCTCATTAATTTAGCTATAGGTAAGATGGCAAGATAATGTATTCCTTTATATGGCTGTTAAGTCTCACAACTCTTGAATGATAAGTAACTTGAATGGAAAAAAAACTAAATTATGGATGATATTGATCGCGAAAACCTATGTGTTAAACTGATAAGTAACGTAATCGGAAGAAAGTAATCAACCAGGTAGGGTGTTGACTGTTATGTGAGCCGACTCTCTGTGTTGTATTGCATTATATTTCTAAGTTTACTAGGTTTGTTTTCTCTTTCATTTGTACTTGATGATGATTGCTTGTGTTGCAATCGAAACGTCGTATGCTATTATTTAATTTATTTTGTATTTTTACATGACTTTACCGAAAGAACCAAAGAGTAATTCCTGCAGTCACGAAAGCTCCAAATCAAGTCTGATAAGTAACGTTCAAAATGTGGCAGAGTTTCACATTGCCCATTTACGAGCACCTCTTTGTCAATCCAGTGGTAAATGAAGGTCTTTATACACTTTGTGATTATGGGGTTGTTTGATGGTACTTCACCCGCTGCTCAGTGCGATTGATGAAGAGAGGGGTGCTCAGAACCAATTCAGACATCACTAACCATTCACTGATGTTAACCATAGCCAGCAGTCTTGGGTCGCTGCTTTGATAGTGTGGCGAATGACCACTCCACTCTGCACTATAACTAAGTGTAGCATATTTATGATTGCATATTAGATACCAATAAGAGGAGATGACACGAGATTAAACTATCTGTGCACAATGATGTACAGTACCAGTGTCCTCCCATGAAGCCTCTAATTGTGCATGCAGCTGGCACACGTGGACCGCAATGGGCAATGTGCGCTGGTGCACGCCGCACTGCGGGGTCACCGCTCGATCGTGGAGTTCCTGGTGAACCAGGACTGGTCCTTGGCTGGGCAGCAACCCGGATTGCCGCGCAAGGGACAGGCGATGCAGCAGGGTCTCACGGCTGCCTCTAGCATGGGCCACACTGAGGTGCCCAGCTCTGCGCACCCTCCAATGGGCACAAACTGCATGGCTGATGGATGATATTGTTCATGCTGTTTTAAGTGCACGACACGCTACATTACACGACGCAATTTGTTGATCAGCAGGTAGGGTACATTGTGGGTACTTTCCACCTGTTCCAAAATGTCTCAACAGAATGGAAGAGTAGGCCAAAAATATTATCTTGAGCTCCTTCTAGAACTACTTATGGTGGAAGACCTTCCTCCAAAAGTTGCGAGACCAAGAGCTACACATTTACCATTTACACGCTTGAGATGCCATGATTCTCCCCCCCCCAAGTGAATCAATGAATTGTTACGATTAATGCTCATGATTCAATTAAAGAATCGATTATTGTTTGCGTATGGTGGTGAACATCGTAGCCATATAAAATATATGTAAATTAAATATGTATATATTGTGCACATGATACATGTGTTTTGAGCTTAAGAATTGAAATGAATAAATTAATCGATGTATCATTACATCTGCCCTACACATGTTTGAAGAAAACATTACACAGTATATGGAACACTTAGAAAACTTATAAAACTAAACTTACAGAGCGCATGCTCACACATACAAATATGTCTATTCAAGTGTCTGTGCAAAATGTATCTAATAGTCAATCCCTCATGAGGCCAGAGTATTTACAACTTCATTTTGATGGAAGGATTTATGGATTGATTTAATTTGCTTCCTGTCAACCTGTAGACTTGATTTATGCCATAAGAACGGTAATGAGCGCAGAAGCCTGCATGAAATGGAATATCTGTGTACCTGTTTGCAGGTTGTGGAGTATCTGTTGGATTTTTCGGCTGATGAAAAGAAACAGGAGAATCAGTCACAAATCGATGCCTTTGACAGTCTGTGGGGAGAGACCGGTCAGTCACGATTCCAGTTCACGTGATGCATACTAAAGCCAAAGCAGTAAAATGTGGAGACTTATAAAATCAATATTTTACACTGAATTCTTATTTGTTTTGTTTGTGTTTTTTTATTGATATGTATGCTTTTAATTTAGTAGCAAAAACATTGAAATATATGTATGAGCAGTGAATTAAATTTGTTGTTTGATTCTAATCTATCCTTAATATAGTCATCCAATATTTATGCAAATTTTGACAGGATGCGTCATTGTTTATTTTTTTGGGTAAGAACACCAATCCAGTAATTAAGCGACACGATTATTATGTTGAGTTCCTTACTGTCTTCTCTGATATACTGTGGCTCTTCAATGTACTTTCAAAGCCATTGGTTTGTTTATTGCCTTTTTACCTGACATGGTGTGCGCTTTAATTCATGTTGGCACATGTGATTGAGCAAGCTTTGTGTGTCTCCTATACCCATTATTAAACCCAAAGAGACATGAGGTCACCTTGACAATGTTAAAGGCCTATTGCCAAATAGCACAGAAATAGAGAAATAGGGGACGGTATGGGAGTGCACTCGCCTATGAATTCTGCATTGGGAATAAAAATTCGTATGCCGTAAGAGACACGTTTGACAAATACAAAGTACAGCAGACAGGCAATTGAAGGCACTGAACCACAAAAGGATATCTTGACTTCTTAAGGGTAGCTGCCCACATTGCACATCACGACTGCTTATCAAGACATGCTTAATTGGAACAACTCAATTATTACTGTTTGCCTTTGCAATTTCTTCGTTGTTGACGATGATTGATTGACATTAAGCTTTCATTTTTAATGGAGTTCTCCTATAACCTCTAACCAATATTTAAATTGCGTGGTTGTGCTACTCTAAAATATAAATGCAGTCTTTATGTTTAATGAAATCAAATATTATTTGTATGGTTTACAACAATTCTCCACGTATTTTTTTTTACTACCTTGCTTGTGCTTAAAATTCAAAGAAAATACATATTTAGAATTCATATGTGTCGTTACACCCTCTCGCATCTGACAGCACTCACTGCAGCCAGTGGCCGTGGCAGGCTGGAGATATGTGAGCTGCTGTTTGAGCGCGGGGCCACGCTTTCGCAGCCCAACCGCCGTGGGGTCAGCCCCGTGTTCAGTGCAGCGCGTCAGGGCCAGTGGCAGGTATGTATGTGGACACTCTTGCTTTTCTTGTGCATAGGATTAAGCTAAATCCTCAATGACTACTGCATTGATTCTAATGTCATCCCACCCGCAGTTCAGGTTGGCATCACTTGACCTGGTGTCAAACACTAAGTTCGGGCGTTTATTTAGGCCACAGTGGATTTTGTTCCATTTGTGTTTTCTCTAGGTAGTGGACTTACTGCTGAAACGGGGTGCAGAGGTGGATGTTATGGACAGGCAGGGTCGCACGGCTCTCATGGTTGCATCCTGCGAGGGTCACATTGGCACAGTGGAATACCTCCTTTCCAAAGGTACTACTACACTTTCATGGCTCATGCTACCTTATGGTGCCACAAAATCGCATTCGTAATCTCACACTATACGTTTCTTGGGCAGCTTATTGATGTTTTGTCACCATTGTGCAGGTGCGAGTATCGGATGTGTGGACAAGGAAGGACTCAGTGCCCTCAGCTGGGCCTGTCTGAAGGGCCACCAGCCGGTGGTGCAATCTTTGGTTGGACGTGGTGCCGCCATTGATCATACGGACAAGAATGGGCGCACGCCACTTGATCTCGCTGCTTTTTATGGTGATGCTGGAGTGGTAAGCACGTCCCACATTTGGGCTGAAAACCACCACATCAACAGTAATGGAAGCTAATTTTGCTATATTTTTTATGAATAATAGCTTGGATAATCAACATATAAGCCAAAAAATGTGCATTTTTTTAAATATGGACTGCATATCCTTCAAAACTATAAACCATTCACTTGTCAACACTAGTGTTGTTTCACCTACTTTCACCAGACATAATTTTTTCCCAATACAGTGACTAAATAGTCAGTCAGACTTGTGCGATTTGTGTTTGTGTAACAGGTTCAATATCTGGTGGAGCATGGAGCCATGATAGAGCATGTGGATTATAGTGGCATGCGCCCGCTCGACCGTGCTATTGGATGCCGGAACACCGCTGTGGTTGTTGCCTTACTGAAAAAGGGTGCCAAGCTTGGTAAGATATCTACTGCATAACTTGGGGTGGATGTATCCGTGCCAAAATATAACACATTCACCTCATAATATAAGAAAAATGCAACAAAAAAATTCAGAAAGTTAAACTTACAGCATTGGGTAAAGTTGTTGTTATTTATGTTAATACCCAGACATTATCCTCTTTGGTTCTTTCGGTAATGTCACGCTTCGATCGCAACACAAGCGACCGTCCTTCAGGTGAGGACGGTCGTTTGTGTTGCCATCGAAATGTCGTTATCTTATTAATAATTTTCTATCTACGTGACTTTACCGAAAGAACCAAAGAGTGAATTCCTGCAGTCACGAAAGTTTCAAATCAGCCCAGACATTAGTCTATGGAGTCAAATTACAAAGTTATCACAATGTATTTCACTTGTACTCTTGCACTGGAGTTATATGCCATGTTATATGTTAAATATTATTTAAAAATAAATTATGACACTATTGATGATACGTGCCCACTGTTGTCTCGTTTATTTACCCTGTATGTATATATAAGGTCCTGCTTCCTGGGCTATGGCCACCTCAAAGCCAGACGTCATGATAATATTGCTCAACAAGTTGATTGAGGAGGGAAACTTCCTCTACAAGGTAAAGCAGTAATTTACATTTGAAGTTCATGTACTGTACAGCGCCGAATCTATGATTTACTGGTAGGTAGGGTGCTTTGTGGTACTGCGCTGCACCACGTAGTCACAGAAAGTAACATATAACTGCGCATAAACAGGCTTTAGAACGTGGACACTGAATCGGTGTTCCAACATGGCCATTTGTAATTTGCTTTGAGACAAACACAGGCATAGGGCTTAAACCTGGTATCACATTAGGTGCTAAATTTGTGTTCTGATATAGTCATTGTAAACCTCTTAAAATACAGCGTCAGAGCCTGAACCTACCATCTGACATGCTTAATCACTACTTGGAAAATACCTTTATGAACCTCGTAAGAGACAAACGACCCAGCTCCAGGGCTTGAACCTAGACTCTCAGATGTACTGTGTAAGTACTCCGAAACATCACCTGTTATCCTAGTTAGTGATTGGCTTCAATTCACAGTTGCCCATGCAGTAGACTTTGGGATACATAAAACGGTGGAAGATCAGACATACAGATATATAAAACTGCTATAAGCTTGTATTCCAACCAGACTGATCAAAAAACGTTTGTCTTCATTTGGCATCACAGGCAGGACGAATGAAAGAAGCAGCCCAGCGCTACCAGTATGCTCTGAAGAAATTTCCTCGTGAGGGCTTTGGTGAAGAACTGAAGACCTTCCGTGAACTCAAGGTCACCTTGTATCTTAATCTGTCACGCTGCCGTCGCAAGATGAATGTGAGTCCCGAGCTGTATCATCAACAACCAGTGAATTGTTTTCTTTAGTACTATGCATGGCCTTATTATTATACTTGAAATATAACAGTATTTATTTTTTGAGTTGCAAAATTTGCCCTGCAGTCGAATCATCATAATACTATGACTAATAGTCATACAAAATATACATGTTGATGTTGAGACTAATATTTTGTTCAATAAGGATTATGGAATGGCAGAAGAATTTGCTACAAAGGCTCTGGAATTGAAGTCAAAATCGTACGAGGCTTTTTACGCCCGGGCTCGTGCCAAGCGCAGCAGCAGGTGGGTCTTATAGCGGTGCATTCAACGAGGCTTTAAGAAATAATTCCTTGCAGCTCTGGCATTTGGTGTAATAGAATAGCATATATTTCACACAAGAAAACTGACTGTGGCTCACCTTGCGCATCCCAGACAGTTCATGGCCGCGCTGGAGGACCTACATGAGGCGGTGCGCTTATGCCCAGAGAACCGGGAAATTCGTCGCCTACTTGCACGGGTGGAGGATGAATGTCAGCAGCAGCTCCTGCTTCCACAGAGCCAGCAGCAGCAAGTACAGCAGGAAGGAAACTGCACACAAACTGAAGAGGGTTACTATGCTGAGCCTCCCACTTACGGTGGAACAAAGCATGGGCAGGATTATTATCCTGTGGCAATGCCAAAGGATGCCAATGGCAAATTAGAGAATTCTGATGAGGATGAGTCTCCGTCTTCTCCCCAAGCTTTGCGTTCTCGCCCGACTTACCCATCTCCCATTGAGACCTCTCCCTGGTCTGTTGCGCTGCAGCAAGAAATGAGAGTTAAATGCAACTTGGGGTCAGACATTCAAGGCAGAGCTGAACTCAGGCCTGGGGAGGGTACTCAAATGGTTCCTCGATCACACCAGGATGCTGCTGCTCGAGAGCAAATGCTTAGAACCCAATCGGCCCAACATCCCTGGCTGGTAAGCAGAGGAATGAGTGTTGGAATGGGAAACAAAATGTCCCAATATGAACCTAAAAGTCCAGTGATGCAGAGATCAGTGGAATTGCCCTCCTCTGCTGTATCCCAAGGCAGAGTTTTTCACCAAACATCCCTGAATGTTGAGATGAGTAGTGGTCGGCCAATGCAAACCGGTGGCAACAGAGGACTTCAGCAGCACCTGTCGATTTTGGAAACAGAGCCCCACATGTACAGTAAGCATCCTCTGTCAGATATAAATGCAAGTGTCTTTGAGCGCAAAGAGCAAGAGAAGCCCAAGCTATGTAGGGAGTCAACAATGGGAGCTTATAGCCGTCCAGGTCAACTCATTCCCCTGGAAGTGAGGCCACATCCACCTACTCCTCGTCCTTCGCTTCATGTTATGAGTGCTGGCCTCTGCAGCTCTTCTCTCAGTCTGATGGAGGCAGGGAATCCCCAGTATGCCTGCAGTCCCCAAGCTGAGGTGCGCATCCGTACCACATTGGACTTAAAGTCGCTGACCAGTGCAAATAGCATTGGAGTTGCTTGCAGTGGAGGTGAGCGCCCTGGTATGATATCTCCCACACAAGATTCGAGACAGCTTGTTTTGCCTGACAGCAAGTCCCGTCCGACACCCTTCATGGGAGTCACAGACAAACGTGCTCGGGCCCATCAGTTGCAACTGCCACTCGTATCAGCACAGCAGCCAACACCACAACAGCAACAGCAGCAGTCACAAAGCGGCAGGAAGTGGGTCACATCATCGGTTGATGTTATTGTGACAAGTCCCGTCTCTGACTCACCCCTCTCCTCTGCGGAATCTCCTCCAATGAACAGCCTGGCCTATTACAACAAGACAAACAATTATCTTGAGCAACAAGAGGGCACTGGCATTGACTCACCACCTTTGCCACATCAGCAAAATAACAACAACATGCATAACGGACGATGCCTTATGCAGGAGGAGCCCTCCACACATGATGAGGACAGGTCCTCAAAGCCAGCTTCACTCTCATTGCAGGGATATCAGGATGGAGTGGGCATCATTGTACAGCATGTGGTCAAGGATCCCAAACCACCATGCACCTCCCCACTCATTCCTAAACGCCCTTTTGTGGAGTCTAATGTATAAGGCTGTGGCGAGCACACTCTTAACTACATCCTAAATAGTTTGTGAAGGTCAGTTAAAACTTTTCCACAATCATGCAAATAGGTGTGGCAAAATAAAAATATGAAATGATGTAAAGAGAAAATACATAAGCATGTGAAAATGTTGTGCATCCCTATATCTAAGAAAACGATTGTACATTTAGCTTTAGAGTTATGTATTATTCATGTTATGCATTACTGCTGCAAAAAAGCGGAAAAGCAGAATCTAAGAAACTATGTAATGTGTTCCTCTGAGTGAAGTGCTTGACCTTGCCAGGTTTAAAACAATCTACTGAAAATGAGCCAGGGCTTTTAGCCAAAAGGTAATTATTCACCAGTCTTAACCATCACTGGATACACTTAGCATAAAAATGTAGAAGAATACACCAATAGCGAGCAGAATCAAAGTTTCATTCATGCCATTCAAGGGCTCCTGGATAGGCCTGTATATATAGCTCGTGTATCAAATTGTTCTGTTTGGAAGAAACTTGGTATGGTATTGTACACTGAATGCACATTACGCGTTTTTTTCTTGTGTATTATAGTGGTGTCTATAACGAATCCCACAGATGTGTTGGTAGTTCCTTAATCTACCAGCAAAATTAAAATAATCACTTGGTGATGTAGTGCAGCGATCACTGTACCCTACACGTTCCAATTTGTATGACAATCTGGAATCTCTTGTCGGATGCACACGTATCAATAAGAGCACTGTCCTTAAAGGGGATATTAAGCCTGCTCCCTCATTTGTTTTCTTGCAGATGTCAAATGCCCCAGTGATGTGCGAGCCCAGTTAAGGGAAGACAGTGCTGACTTTTTTACGTTTTATCTGTCATCTGTGCCAGGTGTGGCTTCAAACAAAAGTTTTACCACTCGGTATTTATGAACCGCAATTGACTACACATGGCAACAAGTTAAACACAAGACAGTACATGAGTTTGAGTCCTCTCTCTTACTATTGGTATGAGCAGGGCCCATGGCATGGGTCTCGTGAAATCGTTAATCGTTCTTGCAGTACCCGTATTTCCCGCTAGAGGGTAGGGTAGGAACCCGGTAAATGTGGCTGGAGTGTGATTCCTGCAACATGAGCGTTTCATATTACCCATGCAACTCAGGGTCTCTCCTGAGACGGCCCCTTCTACAGAAAGAGTATCGCGTAGCTAAAGGAGCCAGGTGACACATTGCAAAAAGTTAAATACAAAGAGTCATGGTTGAGCTTTTTTGCAAAGATTACGTGTTGTGCTCTTGTCATGCTCGTACAGGCGCGTATGAATGAAGCATTAACGTGCAGAAATAAATAGTACACATGTTTTTTTTTCAATGCAGAATGTAACTCTGACGTATCGCCACCAGAATTGTTCACTCTGCAAAGTTGATCGCCTCATTAGAATGACTCAAATTCCATTGCCATTTACCTGACGGCAATTCAACCCATGGAGGATGTAATGCTGTGCACTTGTGGTGTTGTGTCTGTACATTATTAGTAATACTACGTTTATGCGTAATATATGTACATAAATGAAAATGTTGCCTTGCGGATAACTTTAAACTTAACTGCATTTCTTGTAAATATGCATTTGGTGTAAATTATTGAAAACATGGAATGCAGTAGTATTCACAATGTAGTCAGATGCATTTTCAACTGCCAAAATATGTATATATAATAAGTATGCTGAAAAAAGATGTACCACCAAATAGTTGCACTGACTGTGGAATGATGAATGATATATCATTGTGAAGTGCACTTTACTGCAGTATTTAGGTGGCATAGTGCTGACAAACAACGTGTTGGTCTTGATGTGCTGTGCACAGAGTTTAAGATGACAAACAATTGTTAGGTATCACGATCAAAGTGCTAATGTGCAAGCTACATCTGGTTAGTAAATATATTGCTTCTATTACTGAAGGAAAGTGTATGTATGCAGTCTTTTTTACGTGTTTTTGTTTTATATTGCAGTACATGTGGTACACAACAGTTAATGATTACATATTATGGATATTTGCATGTTTGTTTATTAACTTTACAGTAACCTAATGGTACACAGTCCTTTCTCATCTCACACCATACCCATAATCCCTTCTTTAAAAAAAGTGCAACACTTTTTGTTAAATAAACTATTTAAATGTCAGTTGCACAAGTGGATGGATGCCTTTTATTTGTCGGGCAGTTGAGGATTCGATGTGAATGTCGGCTACAAGGAGCCGGGTGCAATCATCACCTTTACTGTTTAATTTACTACATTATTTTAATTGTGTTACCCAGCATGTGTAGCAGCCCTATGGGGTATTAACTGAAAATAATCTGCTATTCCCATTACTCGAGTCCTCTCCACATCCAACAACAAGAAAAAAATTGGTAAAAAAAACTATTGCAAAATGTTATTTAAAAAAATAGTTCATTTCATAGAAAGTTGCATCGGTATACTTTGTGCGTGTGAGCTTGTGTTTTTTGCATCCTGTGTAGTTCAAAGATTAAAATCCAGGACAAACCCGTGCACGCTCACACCCTTTTTCTGGAAAAGGTTTGGAAATGTGACTTTTCGCAGAAATCAAATGTCAAAAATGGTTTTAGAAGTAATAAAATAACACATTTGATGCGCGATTGTAAACTAGTTTGTAACTATGGCAGCGTTGTGTAAGGAAATAGCTATTTTTACACATGGTCGTGAAAGTTTAATTGTTGGTACTTTAAAATGGATATCAACCTATGAATTTCCAACAGGCACCCAACAACGTATACGCAAAAAAATGAGTGCTGTAATGCTGGAGTATATGATTGTGCATTTCATCTCAACATGTATGAATAAATTATGTTTTTCCTGGTAAATGTGATCTCATTGGTTGTGTTCAGATACGGAGATTATTCAAATCAAATTACATCATATGAACTGGGTGGATTCTGAAAGATGGATGAGATTTGAGTGGTGCAATCTGACTGAATAATGAATATGTATACACTAGGTGACCATAAAGCCTCGCCTGTATTTTGGTGTCCCTATGCTGTACTGTATTTGGAAATAAATGCATCTAAATGGACTATCAACCAATGACCACAAATCACTCAGATTTGTATCGATCTCGTTACCTCTTGAAGCTAAACCGTGCATTGAGCCTGAATAGGGCTTGGATGGAATACCAGCGTACATTATTGAGGCATAGGCTTACCAGCAAAGGGCAATACAGCAACATTAATTGTTGTGCTGTCGATATCTGCATCAACGCATATGCTCCTCCCGCCTTAACCTACATTGACCAAAGTGGTGAAAAATGGTAAAATGACTCGCATGGAATGGGGAGGCCCTCATCCAGCAGCTGATTGTGCATGTATGGCCGTACCCTTTCAAGTCAAATATTCCTTGCATTCAAAAAAGTTTGTTTTGTTGCAATTGTTTGATTCATTTAGAGCAGATGGCAACACCGATGAGTGCATTCCAACGTTTTGGTTTAGATAAAACAGAAATAGTTGAGTGTATGGTTAGAGAGTGTTGCCAAGGTCTATTAGAGATAAGTTGCAATCTGAGGAGACGTTACAAGCATGGATGAACAAGTAAAAAAAATCGAGAGCTTTTGCGATGGTATAATCGAAGCCAGTGGTCCTTAAGCGTTACTGCAGCCTTGCACCCCTTTGATTCTCAATCGTAATTTTTTAAAATAATTTTAATAAATACATCGGTTTAATGAAACAAAGTAGTTGTACTTCGGTGCCCATAATTTGTTTCAATGATTTACCTTCTGAAAAAATCTGGTATGTCTCGTACCGCCAGGCGGTGCGTGGACTTTAGGTTAAGAAACACTGATCTAAGCATTCAGCGCTGCAGACATTTTAGTGAAATTTTTAAGATGGACCACAAGTGTGCCCAAAATAAAGGACTTCAACGCATGAGTAAAAAAAACTTTGACTAACCGTACATTTTAAGGCATTAAAAAACAAGATTCGTCGTGAAGATGCATTACAATCAGGGAAGGGCTTTATGATCAATATTTTAATTATATTATTTGCAGTGTATGTTACACTTGTTTTAAAGGGGTGTTATTACTAGTCTACTTGTAACATTTTAAAAATACCGTATACATATGGTCACCTTCATGTGTATTCATTGCTCAATGGTTTATCATTCTCATCCAATATTTTGAAGGGACACTGATCATGATTGCAGACCTCATTTTATTGCGTTCTCTAAATGAACCTTATGGCGGGACCACGGGGTCCCAAATAAACGGGAAGTCAAAATCGTAATTAATTTATTTTTGGCGACTCCGTCCCACCGCGCACATAAATGCCGCGACCCACCTGGCGCGGATTATTCTGTTATCATGTCCAAGCGCAGCGAGGATGAATGCGCAGAAGAAACAAAACTTTTAAACTTCGTCACGTAGAAAGAAAACACATTCCTGCGGAGGGAGCTGGGTTGCTCGGTCAATGACCAGGGTCAACGGCGGCGTGGTGTATTCTGCAAATATGTCCGACTGTGAGGGCGGGCACAAGCCGGCGTGAGTAGGTTAAACGTTGAGTTTTATAAGGGCACCACGGGGTGACCAGCCCCACCCAGCCCCTCCCTACTCAGCCCCTCCCCACCCTCCCCTCTCCACCCAGCCCCTCCCCACCCAGCCCCTCCTCCCCACCTAACCCCTCCCCACCCAGCCCCTCCCCACCCAGCCCCTCCCCTCCCTCCCCTCCCCACCCAGCCCCTCCCCACCCAGCCCCTCCCCACCCTCCCCTCTCCACCCAGCCCCTCTCCACCCAGCCCCTCCCCTCCCCACCCAGCCCCTCCCCACCCTCCCCTCCCCACCCAGCCCCTCCCCACCCAACCCCTCCCTACCCTCCCCTCTCCACCCAGCCCCACCCCTCCAATTTTTGGATGCACGACGGACAGACGGACACAATAATCCCCTGTGGGCTGGTGTAACCAGGAGGTTCCTACCAGTAATAGTTAAATAATAGAATACGACTTTTTGATTGCAACAAAAGTAACCATCATCAGGTAAGAATGAATGAGAAAAACAGTAAACTTAGAAATATAAAGCAATATAACACAGAGAGTCGGCCAACAGACATGAAATGACGTCGCAACACAGTTTATGCGAGAGCCGGGGGTTTATGTGATCCCGGGGTCCCGCCATAAGGTTCAAATGTGATTGGCTTTCACGAATGGCACGCTTCAGTTAACTTGTTTTTGCTATGTTCTTTGGTTCTTTCGGTAAAGTAACGTAAATATACAAATAAAGTGAATAAAATTTTTAATTTTTAAATAAAAATAATAAAAACCAAAAACCATTCATGTAGACTAGGCTGGTTCTTAATCGGAGTGAGTGTACTGGCAGTCTATAATGTAGACTGTAGCCTGGTTCTTAATCTTGGTGAGCGTACTGGCAGTCTATAATGTAGACTGTAGCCTGGTTCTTAACCTCTGTGAGTGTACTTGCAGTCTATAATGTAGACTGTAGCCTGAGCTTTAAGCTTGGTGAGCATATTGGCATTCTATAATGTAGACTGTAGCAATGGTTATTAAACTGAGTGAGCGCACTGACAGTCTATAATGTACACTGTAGCCTGGTTCTTAATCTGAGTGAGCGTACTGGAAGTCTCTAATGTAGGCAATGTGGGGAACGGTGGTTCAGTGGCGAGTGTGCTGCACTGTGAATGTGGCAAATCCGAGTTCGACTCTTGATCACAGCAAACATTGGCGAGGAGTGATAACTGAAGCGGTCTTATTTTCCTCACCAACCCGTACTGACCAGCGTGGTGAAGTATAGTAAAAAAAAAACCTCCATGACCGAAAGGCGTGGGGAAACCTTGATAAAGTCCTGTAAGTGATGATGATGGTGAGAATGATAGTGAAACATTTGGGAAATATTTATACTGATAAATTATGTACTTATGTCCTATATTACATGAGACGATTACTCCACAAATCTGGCTGTTGCCCGATGGTGCTAGTTGTAATGACTGGCGAAACGTCGTACTCGAATTGTACATTTTGTGAGTTGTGTGCTGTACTAGTAACGAATTTGCATGTTTTGTTACGTTACAAACTCTACTAATTGGCTATGTCGGTGGTGGCAGGTTTAACAACACATTTATATTTACGCGATCTAACTCAAAGACATCTTATGGATAATATTGGTCGTGAAAGCCTACTTGTTAAAAAGCCATTTTTGTTAGAATTGTAACCAACAAAAGTAAACAATCGTTTCATAATTAAGTTATTGCTTTATTTTACCATATCTAAACGAAAAATAAATGTTAACAACATCATACTTCTAGGACATTTGTACAACGCACACTCGGCAAGGAATTATCCATCATATGACGTTCCTATAATTTCTTATTGACATCTGGGAAAACTCTTAAAACCAAAAATTATATCTTGTGGTTTTCTGGAAAGGGGAAATGAGCTGAGGAGAAACGAGAGAGAGAGAGAGAAGTTGGTTTTGGCGAGGGGAAAGATGAGTGGAAGGTAAATCATTATTAAATCTTTCTCGGTGAGCTCATGTTTTTGATGCCTCAATTATGCAGGTAAGGGCACCCCGTTTATCTCAGCCAAGAAGCTTAAGCGGATCTGTCACTCATGTGAACAGCGGGGCACAAATGAAACGCCGCCTCTACGTCCCTCGCCAATCTGTCACTATTTAAAAAAAAATAGAATTTCTCGTCGCAGCTCCATACACAACGGTTGTCACAGCAAAAAAACATGCACTCTAATCGACTTCTCGAGATGGGTTATTTCATTACACTTGCTAGATATTTGTTTTATTTTTGTCTTGCACCTGCCAGTGGTACCTGCTACAGACTTACACTGCCGCAAGGCTAGCGGTTGTAGTGTACCTTTCTATCATTTGATGATCAATGACATTTTGTCAAATAATTTATTGTCTCGTGGCAACTTTCTTGATGGTCTGCTTCATTTGGACCAGATTTCACGTATTGATGAAATGGCCAAAATACATCGCTTTGGCGCTGTTCCGCTGTTTTTTTTATATGAAGGGGACATCGTCACACTGGGAAAAATAATTGACAAAAAGGAACATTCTCTAATATGTGAATCTAAGGTTGTCTTCTGTCCTGGTTTTCCCAGGATCGTTCTCATTTTGAGGTACGTTGCTGTACTGGGAAATGTGTCTTCTTGGGGCATTAAATGTCCGTTTTTTATGTTGTTGCATAATAATACACTACTCAAGACAAAGCATTTACATGTAGCTCTCCCCTCTTCCAGTGTTGTGAAAGATTCCTGATGTTTTTTGTACCTAGGAGGTAGCAACCACCACCATTTGGACAAAATCTGACGAAGAATCAAGATTCGCCAACGCTTGAATGTGATACATACTATGGTACATATATCTTGTATTAATTGAGGTCATTGTGGTTAAAATCTTCATTAAATTGTGCCCCTCCTGGTATTGCCAATATTGAGTGAAAACCCAAAAATAATCTGTCAAAACAGTGGACGCCTTGCTTGTCAGTGAATCATCATCGTCTGTCCCTTCCGTAAGCTCGTTAGCAACGGTGGGGCTGAATATATTTCCATGTTTCTTTGGGCAGTATTACTGTTCCACTCCATCTCGACCCCTTTTCTCACATGCAACCTATTTTAGCGAGCCTTGTGTTTGAGGCATTCACATCATAGAGGATTACATATTATGGGGATAAATTATATTGAAATCATAATTTTTATACAAAAAAGCCTCTAAATGTATCCCACCAATTGATATATGCTTATTAAATATGTTTTAAGTCTCCTCTGTAAGATACGGAGCCATTGAGTTGACAATATTCAATAATCTGAGATTAAAAGGATCATTAGATATCATTGGGGTATCTATATATGGAGAACCATATATATTTGTTTGCCCATGTAGGGTACATGCATATTACAGCGAGAGAGAATTGATTACATTGCAGGATCATGAGCTGGCGGTGGCTAGGGTTGTAGGCCGTCATCCAGAAGTGGGTTGACCATGGCTGATGTTGATGATGGGGGCCACGGTGGCGAGATGTTAACTGCCTTGCCTGGTATACAGGAGGTCGTGGTTACGATC